AAAGTTCAGAATTCACCATGGAAGTCTTGTTTCGTATCTCCATTTCCATATCTACCATATTCTTCGATGCATTTTCAAAATTTTCCCCAAGTAAAAAAGCTGCACTATGCATTCCGTTAACAAGAATCTCAACTCGGGTTTTCTTCTTCTTACTACCTCGACTTGAACCTTCTTCAAAAGAAATACATTTTGGATATTCTTAAAGAATATGGTATCTTTCTTGCATCAGATTCTGCAACCCAACTTACTGCATATTGTTATAGTGACTAGGCTAGCTTCCATATCACTAGATGATCTACACCAAATATGTATATGTAGAGACAAATTACAGATCCATGGCTCTCACAACTTGTGATGTTAATAAAAAATCAATATTACCTTCAAATCAAATAAATGACATTTTGCCACAAAGTTCTAAAACTTTCCAGTTATGGGATGGTGGGAATAATATTTAACATCACCAATTACAAGCATCCTAAATGTGTTATTCATAACAAGTGATTGCAGAAATAATCAACCACATAGCTATACTTACAAATATTTGCATGCATAATATTGTTAAAATTGCAAAAAAAGTAGGACAGTGGACATACTCCAATAAATGCACACATGCTTGATGGTATGGCTGTGTGAAGCCTTCAATAATAAAAAGAAAAAGAAATCTTGATACAGATGGGAAGTTTGATCTTCTTTTAATAGTCCAAAATACCAACACCAAACTGTTTAGATTATAATTAACTAACATATTATACCAATTTTGATTTTAACCAACATATTTTGCCTACAATGAACCATTTGGAGGGGTGTTGTAATCAATTAGCTACACCACAAAGTGTTCTACTGAGTATTGCAGCTTAGTAATATTATACACCCTATTGAAACTCTAGAAAAATTATACACCCTCTTAAACAGAAGTATGCAAAAAATTATACAACCATGGCAACAACAAAATGTATGGTTGAATGTACCCCTGCTTTGTTCAAATTCTAAGCAGAAGTGTGCAAAATATCAACAGATGAACCATGTATGYTGTGTTTTGTRTATTTGGAAGTATACRTGGTTGAAATTTGTGATTATTATTGCATAACAACAACACARTGTTAGAATTGAAAGGATTTTGTTTTTCTAATGTACTTTTTATTAACTCAAGTAGTAACAGTGGCATGATCTTCCCTTCTTGCATTTTAGATGTATTATATACAAGTGTGTGWAATGAGATGATAAGTAGAAGAAAACAGTTTTAGGGGCATTTGTAAACCAAATCCTTTGGCTCAACCAGCTATGAAAACAGTTTATGTCTCCTATATATATTGGAATCTGGGTTTTTTCAACAGTTTCTGTCTAATATATATATATTGGAATGATTTAGAAATGGGTTGTGTAATTCGTTGAAATTCTCCAATATATTTAAGAAAAAGGGAAGAGGGAATTGAGGGTTTTGTTGATTGAAATTCGTCAAAACAACGATTCCTTCTCAGAAAGCAATTTGTTGGTTATCGGGTGTCTTTACTCTCCAACTAACCTAGGATATACAAAGGATTTGATCCATTTTGAATACTGATTAAGTGTCAACTGGATTAAAAACCAAAATACAAAATGGAATTACCATTAATGTACTAAAATGCTATAGACAACTGTGGAATCCATGGCCAAAATACAACTCTGTTGATCATTTTGTACAGCCACCATCTATCCTATGCTGTTACAAATGATCATACAAATTAGTGATAACTACAAATACAACAATCCATTACAACGAAATTTTGTTTAAAGAAGTGATTGGTGCCCTAATTCCATTCAATTTAGGATCGAACCAGAGAGCGATTGAAGATCAAATCAGAGATCGATTGAAGATCGAACCAGATTGGCGATCGAATTTTGCTTACGAGAGAGAGATTTTGTTTACGAGAGAGAGAGAACGTACCTGGAGATCGAACCAGAAATCCAATAGATGAGATGGTAGAGGCCTTCAATGAATTTGGATTAGAGGATGAATCTATAGGAAAGGAATTTGAAATCCCAGCATGTTACCGTGGAATTGTGAAATCGGTGCCTGAAGGAATTGACCGAAATTGACCGGATTCCATCATCTTATTCTATTGAACCAAACACTTCATTTGGAATTTGGTCAAAGGATTGGATAATCCAATTCCTTTCAATTCCTTGTGATTCCTATGATCCAAACAGCCCCTAAAATTTTTGTTGTGGCCAAAATATAGAACAAAATCTTCATTTCTCTATTTTAGAAAATCCGTTGTAGATTACCCTCATTTGGTTCTATATTTCTATAGACAGTGCATAGAATTTTCTAAAACTTGACGTATGAGGGGAAAAAAAATTAAACTAAAAAGGCAAATTACATGAAAAAGTAAGATACTTTAACTTGATTCCTATGTTGGATAACGTACTTTCAGAACTTTCATTTTGATACCTAAGATGTTTAATAAACATTTAAGTATCTGAATAACCGGATGAACCATTAATCGGTTAAACATGCTGAATCATTAACCGGTTAATTTAAGATATCTATGTCAGCAAATAATATTGAATTGGATAATACATCGTTCGTCACATTAGCATGGTAACCGATTACCCAGTTACTTAAATGTTTACCTTACATTTTAGCTACTAAAGTGGAAGTTTTGAAAATACGTTATCTAAAATATGAATCAAGTTAAAATAAGTTAATACAATTTGTCCTAAAGTAAATTATAAAATGAAAATGTACTTAATATTGATTATAAAATGAAAATTGATGTAAAATAAATCAATATTAAGTACATTTAAGCAAAAGATATGGAATTTAAGACATCTTGATTCCAAAACAACCACAAACACCAATCCCTTCAAATTCACCATCAATTCACCACAAAATTAGGGTTTCCACCATCCTTCCATCTGATTTCTAACATGATTCCAAAAATCCCCAATCTCTCTGGTTCTCACTTGCAACCCCCACCCATCATTCAAACCCTAATTGCATCATCAAAAAAGCCATCAATTCGTCGTCCATGGGGGGTTGCATTTCTGTTGCCAACGCAAGCTACGTAAGGAGAACCAGAAACAGCCTTGTTAACCCTATTTCAGAAGACGATCTAATGCCCGAAACCCCTACCAAACCTCGCACCCCCAGATTCGTCCGACCCGCTCGTGTCCTCAAAGAGTCCGCCGGAAAAGACATTTTTCGACGTTATAAGTTCGGCAAAGAGCTCGGCCGGGGAGAGTTTGGGGTGACGTATGAATGTCAGAATATAGCGACCGGCGAGAAGGTGGCTTGTAAGAAGATATCGAAGAGCAAGCTGAGGGCGGAGATCGACGTCGAAGATGTGAGGAGAGAGGTGGAGATCATGAGACATTTGCCGGTGCATCCCAACATTGTGAGCTATAAAGATGTTTATGAAGATAAAGACGCCATTTATTTGCTCATGGAGCTTTGCGAAGGTGGTGAACTGTTTGATCGAATCGTGGCCAAAGGTCATTATACGGAAAGAGCTGCTGCCATTGTCATCAGGACCATTCTAGAAGTTGTCCAGGTTATTAATTAATTAATTTTCTTTAAAGTGTTAATAAATAAAAAATTAACTTCAACTTTCAAAACTTCCGGTTTAATACACTTAAAGTAAACATTTAAGTTTTTAGATAACTGGTTGAAGCATTAATCGGGTACCAAGCTGATGAGATATCCAACTCAGTATTATTTGCTGACATGAATATCTTAAACTTACCGGTTAATGTTTCAACATGTTTAATCGATTAATTCTTCAACCGGTTACCCAAGTACTTAAATGTTTATTAAACATCTTATGTTTCAAAATGGAAGTTCTGAAATTACGTTATCCAAAACATGTATCAAGTTACTTAAAGTTGATTGTTTTTTCATGTAATTTGCCCAATATTTTAATATTTTCTTTTTTCTGATACGTCAACAAAGTGCTATCATAAATATGTTTAAATGTCATAATAGATTTGGACCGTCTATAGCAATATAGAACCAAATGAGGGTAATTTACAACAGATTTTCTAAAATAGAGAAATGAAGATTTTGTTCTATATTTTGCTACAACAAATTTTTTGTATTTCAAATAAAAGAAAAGAAAAAAAATTCAAGTTTAAAGATTTCTTTAAAGGGGTGTTTGGGATTGCTTGTAAAAACAACTTATTAACTCATTCCGGTGTGACATCGATAATAAACATTTTTGAGTGATTGGATAAACAACTTATACCGGTGCCATACCGGTAATAAAGACTTTTGTAAAAAACATGAGTTGTTTCAAATAAGCAATCCCAAACACCCCTAAATCTTATTTGAAAAGAAATAAATGATCTTTTATTTATTACACCGATGAGATTTACTTATTATTATATTATATAAAGTTTTTTTTTTAAATGTATCAGAGTAAAATAGTTATAAAATATTTTAATAATATAATTAATTTTAAAATCTTTAAAATAAAGAATCTTTTGTACGGAGATTTTTGACTTTTTATTCTTTCTTTTAGAAAAATTACAGAGAATTTATTACAAATTATCTTTTTATATGACATTATTTAGAAAAATTCTATAAAATTTAAATATCATGTAAAAAGACGTTAATAGACATATCCTCAAAAGTGTAATATAAAAAGTTGTACAAAGTACAAACTTGTTAAGACACCCAAAGATATCATATCAACTTATTGCAATATCTTTCATAGAACGCACAATTATTTGGTTTTATATATTTTTTTTAACCTAGATATCCAACCTGTTATGCGAGACGACTAATTCCAGGGCGACCACCTGCTTTGCGGGTAGTCCGGAGTCACTGCATTTGAATCACCGTGGCCACAAAGGAATTTTTATTTCTCATTGGATTTGAACCTGGAACCTCCAGACACTTTTGACCTGTGGAACCCAAGCTCAAACTAATCAGGCGCCACCCTTGTTGTTGGTTTTATACATTTTACGTCTTAGAAAGTCGATTTTGTTGTAATTACAGTAGAAACCAGGCAAGTCATTATGCATGCACCGTAAACAGTCCTATATATTCATTTGATTTTTGATCGATTTTACGAATTTGTGTAGGTGTGTCACAAACATGGAGTCATACATCGGGATTTGAAACCCGAAAACTTCTTGTACGCTAACAAAAGCGAAACCGCACCTCTAAAAGCGATCGATTTTGGTCTCTCTATATTCATTGAGCCTGGTATGTACGTCTTCATAACGAATTGTACTCTTTTGTTCTATCTTGTTAATGTCTAATTAAACTGATTGATTTGGTTGTAGGCGTTCGGTTTAAGGAGATTGTCGGTAGCCCGTATTACATGGCACCCGAAGTATTACGACGGAATTACGGAGAAGAAATCGACGTATGGAGCACCGGTGTCATTCTTTACATCTTGCTTTGTGGAGTTCCTCCTTTTTGGGCAGGTATCTTCATATTATATAGTATAGGGGCTAAATGAAATTAGATCACATGGGGGTAAATTAAGGGGCTATTTACTAATCACTTATTGGGTAAGTGTTTATTGATATCATTTACCTTATCGATTGAGCATGGAAATGATTAAGAATCTTACCGGGTAAGAGGCATAGCAAGAACCTAGAGGCTTACCCGGTAAGTGACGGAAAAGACTCTTACCCGGTAAGTGCTTATAGGGTTTAAGACGCTTACCAACAATCAATTTTAATGGTCGAGAATGTTACATGATAAGATAACTAATGGAGGTGCTCTTGCCTGCCAGTAAGCGCTTACTGCTTACCCTACCTTGTGGTTTTCGAATTACGGTTTCGTCCGTGTGTTTCAGAGAATACGGTTTTCGTCCCTGTGATTTGCAATTCATTGTCAGTGGTTTACCTTTAAGTATGAGAGACAGAAACAGTAATGTATTGTAACCACAGGGACGAAAATAGCAATTTTCAACAGACCACTCTGATGAAAAACGTAGTTTACTATAAAAGTTTTCGTAAACCAACAACTTTGAGTCATATACAATGACGTTGCAATATGTTGTTAGAACAAAATTACATGTAACAAGTTTATCGAAGAATTTGAGCAATTTAATAGGACACAAGAAATAAATCGTCTGTAGTCCCTCAAGTTAACGTCTCTTCAATTCACAGAAACTGAAGAAGGAATTGCACAAGCAATAATCAAGGGTGACATAAACTTTCGAAGGGACCCTTGGCCGAGGGTCTCGGAAGATGCAAAAAACCTCGTAAAGGGAATGCTCGACCCTAACCCGTACGAACGGCTCACCGTCGAAGAAGCCCTGAGTATGTACATTGTGCTTACATACTTGTGTGTATATAGATGCATAGTCATTAGCAAACTCAATAAAATCATATAAACTTACTAATCAGTTTTCAAACACGTGTGAAAATGCAATGATTTATACAGTGTTTTTTTATATGTGTAACTTTTAGGATTGTTTTTGTGCGGAATAATACCGTCTTAAACGTTTCACATATAAAACAACACTACATCAATAGTGCATTTTTCACACTTTTTGTTTCATATATGTAAAACATTTTTACGTGTACTTTTTGTTTCACAAACACGCCAAAGAGATTCACATTGCGAACCGGGTACATATGAAACAAACACATTGTGAAACAAATATATGTTAATCCTCATATCAAAATTCGAGACATAGATGAAAAATATCATATGTTATTATGCACGGTTCTTAAAAATTCCACAATTTAGAGAGTTCCCAAAAGGTCTCATATATATAGACTTGGGTTCATGTGAGACAAAGTTGTTTTCACGAGACACGTGAGACGACATTTTTACACTGTGAAGGTAACCTTCACAGTGTTTTTGCTGTGAAGGTTTTGATTTTTCTTACCTTCACAACCGTTTGTTGTGAAGTTTCAAATGTAAAAATGTTGTTTCACGTGTCTCACGAAAACATACCGGTTTCACGTGAACCCATCCCTATATATACAGGGTTGGGTCTCGGTGAGGAGAGTTAAGCAAAGAAGCGTAAGAAGGGATCTCTACCCTTGGATGCATATTAGGATGAGATGCACCGGATCAATCCCCGTATGAAGTGCGATTAATTGGTGGGTTTGAGATTAAAGGTGATCAAGGGTCCATATAACTTCTTACGCTTCTCACTTTATCTCTCATTCTCACACAATCCTTCGCACTATATATATTAGTTGAAATTACTAATATAACCTTGGTATGTGACATAGGTAACCATTGGGTCCAAAATGCCCACAAAGTTCCCAACATTCCATTAGGAGAACACGTACGGACAAGAATTCAACAATTCTCTTTGATGAACAAATTCAAAAAGAAAGTCATTAGGGTAAGTTTTCTTTGACTAATAGCTTTCTATTTTATCAAAAGTCAAAATGTTGACTTTTTGAACTCTTCCAGGTGGTTGCAGAAAACTTGCCAGATGAACAAGTGACTGGATTAAAACAGATGTTCCATGAAATGGATAAGGACAACAATGGATCACTCACCTTTGAAGAGCTCAAAGAGGGTTTGTGTTCGATCGGAGATCAACCGCTCGACGATCCCGATGTTCGGATGCTAATGGAAGCCGTGAGTATCCCCAGTATACAACAAAATACGTCTTTTAGGATGCACACGTGTCTTAACTGAGTACTTAACGAGACTTTAAGTTTAAAAGTCTCGTTAAATACTGTATTAGGACAATCGGGTGTCCTAAAAAACACATTATGTTGTCGTATTACTCGCTATTTGACTATTGCTATGGTTGTTTGAAGGCCGATCTTGATGAGAACGGGGTGTTGAACTGCGATGAGTTCATGATGATCGCGGTTCACTTGAAACGAATCAGCAACGATGATCATCTCCGCCAAGCTTTTCACTATTTCGACAAGAACAAAAATGGGTACATCGAGTTTGATGAATTGAAGGAGTCTTTGTTCGAAGAGCACCAAAATTCACACAACGAAAAGATGGTTCACGATATCATTCATGACGCTGACCTAGATAAGGTAATGTTTTTTAAACGTGTGATTAATTACACTTTTTAATCAAGTAAATGACAATTTTACCCTTAATATAGAGTAATAAATTTCTCTGTTCGAAAAGTAGACACTTATTGTTGTATGAAAATGTGTTGCTTCCTCCATTGATAAAGATACAAGATTTTAGAAATGTATGATCGTTACATTTTCTTAATTAATTAAATGACAATTGTACCCTTGATAATAGAGAATAATGAATTTCTCCATCTCGTAATCAAGGGTAGAATTGGAAAGCAAACATTTATTACATTTTCTTATTGACTAAGTGGCAACTTTACCATTAGTTAACCACAAGGGTGGTGCCTGATTAGTTTGAGCTTGGCTCCAAAGGTTAAAAGTTCCAGCAGGTCCCAGTTTCAAATCTAATGAGGAATAAAAATCTACTTGTGGCCACGGAGGTTCAACTGCGGTGACTCCGGGCTATCTGCAAAGCAGGTGGTCGTCCTGGGATTGGTCGGCTCGCATAGCGGGTTGGATATCCAGGTTAATAAAAAAAAAAAAAAAACTTTACCATTAGTTAATGATAGAGCATAATGAATTTCTGCATCCCATAATTAAGTGTAGAATTAGAAAATAGAAATTTATTTTTGGATTAAAATCCGTGTTACATCCTTCGATGAAAGAAACACATTGTTTTAAAAACGTGCAATCATTCCCACTTTTAATTAACTAAATGACATTTTTTTATTAATCTTGATGTCTAACCAGCTATGTGGGCCGCTAATTCCAGAACGATCTCCTGTTTTGCGGGTAACCTGAAGTCACCGCATTTGAACCTATGTGGTCATAAAAGGGATTTTTTTTGTCTCCTTGGATTTAAACCTGGGACCTCCAGACACTTTTGACTTTTAGAGCCCAAACTTAAAAATCAACCGGACATCACCCTTATGGTTTTAAATGACAATTTTACAATTAATAACATAAGGTAATTAACGAATCTCTCTCTATCTGATAACAAAGGATATAATTGAAAAACACACTTACTTTCAAAACACTGTGTTATCATAGGATGGTCGGATCAGTTACCCAGAGTTTGCAGCGATGATGACAACGGGGATGGACTGGAAGATGGCATCTCGACAATACTCGAGAGTGATGTTGAATGCAATTAGTGTGAGAATGTTCAAAGATCAATCCGCGAAACGAAAAGCTTGAATATTTGGTTTGTAGAACATGGAATGTTATGTGGATGGAAAGCAAGCAAGCAAGCTAAATTAATCAATCTCTGTATTTTCCAAATTATGTAACATACAAAATTCAATCAAATACCCGTTATAGCTTGCAATTAGTTTTAACTTCGTGCTGATTTAATACAAATCAGCAAAAACGTACAGTGTAAATTTATGTTCTTTAAAATGTAGTTATAAATTCAAGTAAGTGTTACTGATCGTTTTTTAAAAGTTAAAGAGGCAAATATCACGTTTATTCAAGTAAGTGTTGCTGATCGTCCTTATTTTATGAGTTGGCCACAGTTGCCCTCACCCTTACAATGTCATTTTTATCTTCGTTTAAGGTCTGTTTGCTAGCAGCTTAATGAGCTTAATGAGACTCGTTACTTATTCAGTCAGTTATACATGATTGTTTGGTAATAACTTAATAATATAGAAAGTGACCTATTCAGTAAGCTTATAGGAGGAACTTTATGCAAAAAAAAAAAAATCAAAATCTAAACCTACCCTCTCAATTAAAAAAATACGTACCTCATCTATGAAAAAACTTTGCCAACACAACCTACCTAGCTTATACAGACATTTTAATTCACACAAACAATTTATACATACAAGACTTAATGGAAAACCAACCAAACAATCTCTTAACTTAGGGGTATAAAATAGTCGACTCGAATAATAGATTATTTAAGCTCAACTCAAAAAAATCATATCAGGCTAGAGCGCGACTCGAGCTCAAATAACTTTTTCAATGTCGGGCTCGGGTTCGGGCTCGAGCTCGATCTCAAATATTTTTTGAGTTATCGAGCTCGATGCACGTTTATAGGCTCGTAATCGCGATTGATTATCTCGTTTATTAGTTCGAGGTTGATAATTTTATAATTTTATTGTATTTTGTATGAATATATAAGCATGTTTAGCTCGGAAAAGTATATATGCTCGAATGACACGATTTAACTCAACTCGAAAATTTTTATCAAGCTTTTGAACGAGTCAAGTCGAATATTAGTTCTATAAAACTCAACTCGTTAAGCTAAACACATTCTATTTTATGTTCAAAATCGACTTTAATTTAAGACTTATTAAGCTCATGTAGCTCGTTTACAACCCTCCTTGAGGGACGGACCTGGTATGGATCATACGGTGGCACGTGCCACTGTATTATTCCCGTCGAAGAATAAAAAAATTTAGGTTCGTGAAAGGTGCAACTGTATTAATTTGTTGTGTGTCACCATATGTATTTTCAAACTATGGTGAGAATATGCTTTATTTGTTTCACAAGGCTTTTATTTCACCCTAGACCCGTGATCAATTCTTGTTAGTGTTATTTTCTTAGTCAAATGGTGTCACTATTTGAAAAAATCTCCGTATATTTGTTTCTTATAGTCAAACGGTCACCGTTAAAAAAAAATTCTCTATATTTTTTTTCTTATAATCAAATAATGTCATCATTTATAAAAATTTCTAGATCAAACCAAATATTTTCCATTTGCAATAACGTTAATATAATATTATAAGATAACAAGGATTGTGACTGATTGGTTTGAGCTTGTCTCCAAATGTTAACAATATCTGGAGGTTTCAGGTTCAAATCCAAGAAAAAATAAAAAACCTTTTGTGGCTACAGAGATTCAAATGCGATGACTCTGGGCTATCAGCAAAATAGTTGGTTATCTTAGAATTAGTCGGTTCACATAACGGGTTGAATATCCAGATCAATAAAAAAAAATTATAAGATAAGTTTTTGTTAATGGAATTATGAAAACGTTGGATATCCATCCACGTGTATTGTCCAGATCGAAACAAACAGGAGTCGCTGCATTTGGCATGTGAGCAGCGATTGAGACAGCATACCGGCAAAAGCGCGTGGATAAAATTGAACGGTTGAGGACAAGAAGCCACCCAAACGAAACGTACCGGTGGAAACAGGCGAGTACCTTTCAAACCCATGTCTGGTAGCGCGTGGCCTAACGTCGTCAGTTTTTGCTCTTCATTATCCGTATTACACGTGTATGGTCAAGTGCTATTAAAACCAACACGTAGCGGCTTTGATAGCGTCACATGCTTCTCACCCACATAAAATAAACAGAAATTTATATAAATAACGAGGATTTTCACGTTTTAGTCGTTTTTCTGATCTTAATTTAATTTTTATTAATTTTTATATAGAGGCCTTATCTACATGTATAAAAATTATTGATTGTTTGACAGTTGTTGAATGATTTAGTGTAGAATAATTAAATGATCAGAATGATTAAGAGACTTTCATGATATAGTTCAAAATGAAATATAATAGTTTGGTAACTATTTACGATGAAATTAGGGCGCCTAATGGTTAAGGGATGTCTAAGATACAAAATCATTCAGAAGGTTTTGAAACCATTAAGAGACATACTCTTATTTTGTCAAACAAGTTTCACCACTTAACGATTCAGAGTCTGCCTCTTGATGGAACTATTAAGGGGTAAACGAACAATCCCTTAGTTTGACTTAGAATCATGTGAGATCAGTCTGTTTTTGTGAAACAACTTTTTACACTTGAAACTTCATAACAAAACGCTGTGAAGGTAACATTCACAGTGTTTCCACTATGAAGGTTCGGCTTCTTTTACCTTCACAACGTTTTACTGTAAGTTTCAAGTGTAAAAAAAATGGGCTCGTGGGTCTCATGAGAACTTTTTTTTACTGAAAAACAATCCTTACACATATATGTAAGGCTTCCCCATAAGAATTGGCTTAAAACAATCCTTACACATATATATAAAACTTGCAAAAATGGTATATTAAATTCTCGTAACAATATAAAAGGTAAACATAAAGCAAACCATTATGAACAAGATAACAAATACAACCTTGATCTCGAGACATAAATTTTATTTGCTTTATATTTGTTGTGATTTTTGAACCTATTTTGTGGCTTTGTCAAATATCCTTTTCTGGTCGGTCATAAAACAAGATCAATGTGAGATACACATGCCTCCAAATTGCTGATACATTTATATATACAGTAATTTTAACAAATTAGGGTTTTTAACAGAAATATCTGTTATACCTCTTTAAGGTAAAATGATATGTATGCATACATGTCATTTTACCTTTTAGACTCATCTATGAGTGAAATATGCTGATTTAGTTGAGTTTAGTTTATATGCATTAATTTCATTGTGAATATATTTTACTATTTTATGTATATGAAAATACCGTTAGGTACATAACCAACCTTATTCTACATGAAAATACATCGGAGTCTGCAGATTTACTAAACGCTGACTTACCCTATGCACATAAACTTGATAAACACAACCAAGATAACGGGTCTGACAATCCCATATAAAATGGATAACACTAATCTTGCTAACAACGATGACGTGCAACATATACGGGTACCTTATGGCTGTATAGGGAAATTCTACAGGTTAAATTCGTTTTTGGATAAAAGACAAATCATTAGAGAAAAATATTCGAACATCTTGCACCATATGCAAGAACACAAAAATGGGGTTTCATCATCATATCTACAAGCAGGTCTATTGAAACTTTTAACAGATACAACTATTAACAGATACAATCACATAACTACAAATTGAATGGTTCGCAAGCCACAACAAAGGAGGGTGCAATATGCTGCATCAATACAGAAGTCTAATGTAAGTTGGTCCAGTGGTTTGTGTTTAAGAAGAAACCTAATTACCACCAAACTATTCCAAATACATCAACGGACAAAAGAAAATTAAGGAAAAGTCGGTTTGGTTGGTACAGATATTAGAGGCACATATACATACATATTATTGTTGGTGGGTTCGTCATTAAAAAGATGAATTGTTCAACACGACACGAGATAAGGTAAAATCTATAGACGGTAGTCGGTTTATGGTAATCGGACCAACTTCGAAAATATCCAAAATCTTTATTTGTATTACCAAACATATCCCTTTTGTTATTTTCACTTTGTAGAAATTTTCCATTTAGGCGTTCAACCTCAATCAATCAAGGATAAGGGGGTGACTCACCTGCCTGTTGCTTTAGATTTCTTCCACTCCACCAAGAGCTTTATAATCGGTTCTCTGCGTTCCAAGGTAGTCGACAATTCTCACATATTCACCAAAAGTTCGGAGGATTGTAGTCAACAACATTATCATCGCCCAAGTTTCTCCACCTACCCATCATCTGAAAAGCTGTTCCCAAGAAAACTGTAATCATTTTGCAGAAATTGGAATCTTGATGACCACCCACCTTGTTAATTTAACCTGTCAATTGGTTGTTTTTGTTTGATATCGAAAAGGGTTTTCGTGAACTGAGATACAATATTGAAAAAAGTGAACACCCCCAAACGTTTTGCTTACTTGTGACGTTTGCCCGTCAGGTGTTCGATTAATTGCGTGAGTGAAAGGTCATTATCTTAGTTACAGAAAAAGGTCTTGTAGTTTGCGGGGTTTGAGAATCAACAATTGGGTGAACTTTATATTTTTTGCTTAGAATAGATGACGATCGAATCGTTTCCAGGGAGTTCAGGGTATATAGATTCTGGTGTTGATAAGAAAATAACATATTTTAGCAACACTTATGTGTTGGGTTTGACTGTAATTGCTGGAATTGGTGGGCTTCTTTTCGGCTATGATACAGGTATTTGATTTCTTTCTTTTCTGAATGGATCTCTTACATACATATATATATGCTTATGTCTTCTTTTTGGTGTTGTGTTTGATCTGTGTGAAAAATATCTATTATGGTGGATCAGGTAGTTATCTTTGATGCTTAATCGATGATATTTGCAGGGTATAACAAAAACTTGTTGTTTTGATCATGTAGCTTGTACTCGATGGCATCTCCTTTTTGATGGATGTTATTATGCAGCGGGGAGCTGTGATTTTGATTTTTGATTAGGGTTTTACTTGTTTTTCAGCCAATTAATGGATTGATCGTGTAAATTGCTAAATCTTGCAGCTTAATGAGCGGTTATACTTGGTAGGGGTTTAATAATATAGAAAATGATTTATTCAGTAAGCTTTTAGGGGTGAGCTTTATGCAGAAAGCCAAATTCTTTCCAAACCTTCCCCTCCCAATTAAAAAACGCTCTCCTAACATACCATCTATCAAAAAGCCTCCCAAACAAAACGTTTCCAATCTATACAAGTCGATTAATCCACATATACAACTTTATCCCTACATGACTTAATGAAAAATTAACCAAAGAACCCCTTAAATTTAAAATAAATAACATACTGTGACTTATGTCTACATCAATTATGATGTGATTGCGGTTTGAAAAGTCCATATGTCGAAGTTCCTTCTTGGCGTCTTCTCATCCTCTATTTTTCCACATGATTTTAGTTGATTTTGATGTTACTGGCTATGATATTAGTTGATTTGGATGTTATCCGGTTAATTCGTCTTTTGGGTCAGGGTGTCGACTCCCTTGTTTACAAGAAATGCTTCATGACTTTATTATGAAACAACCAATGATAATCTTTCTTAATTGATATACACAATTTTCTACTTAAGAGCCATGCTCAACTTTTTGATGCTGAATAATTTGTTTCAGGGGTCATATCTGGAGCCCTTCTGTACATCCGCGATGAATTTGAGGAAGTCGATAAAAGTAGTTTCTTGCAGGTACAAGTTCAATTAACAACGACTTTATAGTTGGAAAGTTTCATACTTGCATTTACCAAAATCCATTTCGTCAAGTATTCATCTGGACTTTGTATTTTTACATGTGTGATACACTCTTTGGAATTTTTACTCTATTAACATGTTTGGGGGAACCAAATGGCCTTTGGCCCTAGAGAGTAGAGATATATAGAGCCCCAATTTCTAAGGTGGTCAGGGGTTTAAACCTCACCAAAGGCGAGGAGGGTTTGTGAGTTCTTTTGTCGTATATAAATATACTTAATATAAACATTTTGGGGGAAGTTCAAATGAGACCCAGGAATATTTTGAGAATGTTGAGAACTAGTATATGCATGTGTGTATATATATTTGTATATGTTGGTATATTCATCAATGTATGCATGCTATATATGCAAGTATATATGAATTGGTGCATATACTCGCTGAAATTCATATAGCTTATATGCATCGGTGCTCACACTCACATTTCTCAAAATGTATATGGTTTTCATTTGCACCTTCTTCTAACATGTTTATACTAGAGTTTTAATAATTCTAACAAACCCCTTGCTTTATAGAAGTTAAATTCTTGAACTTTGTATACAGGAGACAATTGTTAGCATGGCTTTGGTAGGTGCAATGATAGGAGCTGGTGGTGGTGGGTGGATAAATGACACATATGGGCGTAAAAGAGCCACTCTTCTTGCGGATGTGGTTTTTGCACTTGGATCTTTTGTCATGGCCGCTGCACCGGATCCGTATGTACTTATATTTGGCCGCCTTCTGGTTGGGTTGGGTGTGGGTGTAGCATCTGTTACAGCTCCAATGTATATTGCAGAAGCAGCCCCATCAGAAATACGAGGAGGTCTTGTAAGCACCAATGTGCTTATGATCACTGGTGGACAATTTCTTTCCTACCTCGTTAATCTTGCTTTCACGGAGGTCAGATTTATTTTCTGTATTTTATTCATCTTTTCTGCAGCATACTGCTTTTTCTTGGTTCAACATGAGATAAGTCAGCATTGACACCACTCTAGTTTTATGGATATGTTCATGCTTCATCACACCAACTGTAACCTCCTAAGCTAACCTTACCAGATATTGTTCACTTTGTCCACACACCTGGACTCACGGTTTTAAAACGCGTATGATAGAGGAGGTATCCAGTCCCTTATAAGGCAACCTTAGTTCCTCTCCCCAAATCTCCACCCCTTGGAGCCCAACGTCCTTGCTGGCACCAGTGCGATTCCCGGCTCTGATACCATATGTAACATCCCAGGCCAACCGTACCAGATATTGTTCGCTTTATCCACACACCTGGACTCATGGTTTTAAAACACGTCTGATACAGGAGGTATCCAGTCCCTTATAAAACCTTAGTTCCCCTCCCCAACCTGTGTGGGATCTTACACCAATGTCTATATTGTTGTAATAAGGGAACTTTAGTCCGAAAATGCTACAATTTTATAAATTGTGAAAGCTTTAAATGGAGTCCTACATTTATGCTGAAATTGGGAGACATTACAAACAAAATGTCCTACCAGACTCCTAAGTTAGACTAGAGGTGTACAATTTTCTTACCTTGGTTATGTTTTTTGTACCTGCTTCTGTACGTATGTTGTTGCTTACTTGTAACTAGCTTTTCAAAAATTACGTATCTTTATACTTGTCTCAAGTTATTCTTTTTAGAAGTCTTTTTCTCTCTTCCCTAAAAAAATTGGGCAAACTTTTTCTTTCGGAAAACAACTGTTTTACTCTTTGGGGTAGATGTCAGGTTTGTGTAAATCTCACCCCAGACCCAACTCTGGGTGGTATACTAGGCTCGTTTGGTTTAATTTTATAGAAACTCTGGAAAATGATGCCTTGTCAAATCAAGCTTGTTTTACCTTTTTCCTTTGTCATCATCACAATTCTATGGCTAAGTATAACAAAACTCGTCAACTACTTTGTGAATTAGATAACCTCTACTAAAATACTTTATTGAAAGCCTTTTTAATGACTATGAAAATGCTAATTATCGAGAATATTCTTTGTTCTACTTTTCCGTCCAAAATCTTCACTCCCTCCATCCCAAAATAAATGTCCACAATAAAAATGGCAACCAATTTAGAAATGTGTAATTATTACACTTTTTAAATAACCAAATACCCTGTTACCCTAGATAATAGAGAGAGAATCTTTCTACATCTCATAATTAAGGGTAGAATGAGAAATTGGAAACTTACTTTTGGAAATGGACACTTATTTTGGGACAAACTAAAATAGTAATGTGGACTCTTAATTTGGGATGGATGGAATACTTGATAAACTATTTCAAGATACTTTGGCCATCATCCAAAGATATGATGGAATACAAATGTCGTGTTATCGTGCATCATGTCCAATATTCCTTTTTTCCTTTTGGTGGTATCATTGTATTTTTGTAACAGTATGAAAGGAGGTTGTTTCTCTCATTTTTATCACTATGCATTGTTTGCATGAAAGGTTTTCATGTGCAGTTTCAACTTTCAAGGAGGCAGCTTCAAGGTTGAGTTGGGGAGTAAAAATCACTCTAATTTCTTGCCTGATAATTTATGCGATTACAACCCATACCAGTATCATTAATTAACTTATCATCTACTCTTTCCATCCCAAAATAAAGGGAAATTGACCAAAATAGCCAATCTCTCCAACCAAATTCACTTTTTAGCCACTTTTTCAATCAAATTCCCATTTTAGCCAACTTGATTTCCAGATTATTTTTTTTGCATAATTTGCATTAAGAATTTGCATAATATGCGTAAAGAATTTGCATAAAGATTTTTTTTTTCTCTTTTTAAAATCTGAAAATGGGTTTTATGCAAATGCATAAGGCATTTGTGTGAACTTTGGCTAAAATGGGAATAAGGTTCTAGAAGTGGCTAAAAGGTGAATGTAGTTGGAGAGATGTACATAGTTTAGCGAAAGTGTTTAGTTGTTTAAGATTAGTCAAATACCTAAATTACACCTCAATAACGACGAAATAGGAGAATTTTGTGGACCAAATACAATTCCATTAATCATTTTCTTCTAACGAAAACTAATATGCAAACTGGTATTTCTTGATTTAGACTTTGCAAAAAAAGGGAAAAGGAAAATGTTACATATTTTTTGAGGAGGAGGAAGTATAGTTTTGGTAATTAACTTCAACGAAAAGCTTTTGTAATTTGTTTAAGATTATATGAGCTTATAACTTGACTTCCGTGTTGTATCTTTCTTTCTCCAATGAGGGCAGCCTGCATGGAATGCTAATTTGCTGCTTTGTTTTTTTAGATGGGCCGTTCAATAAGCATAGAGCCATCTGATGTAACTAATGCATGTGGCTTACCCCGTAATGGAGGTGGTTCTTCATGCATTGTCAACTTATATTTCTGCTTTTGTTGGTTCAATGTTGTCTAGAGTGCGTGAAAGAGTTGTGGAAGGTTTTAAGGTTTTTAATTTGACATGGATAGTTCAGTAATTTACCTTACATAGGTAGTTTAGTAATTTACCTGACATGAGTAGTTTAATAATTTGCCTATCTCGTCTCATCACTTGATTTTTGTTTCAACTATTTTGGTGGGACAAAAAACCAGCATTTTTGTCCCACTCAGTGTCTTGTTGTGCAAAAAGTGGAACAAGTTTTTGTTTTGTATTGTTCTGTCCTATCCCACGTACCAGATGCCTCACGTACCAAACACACGCTAGAGGAACCAATGTGCACCTGAACATGAGAATGGAGGTTTTCAAAGTTGTGGCGGAAAGCTAAAAGGGGTTTGAAAACCTTCCGTTTTGCAATGCTAAAAACAAATGAAATCTTTAGTTTTGTGTCTTAGAAAGGGTTATAGGACAATTGATTCATTTCTCAAGAAACCATCATGGATGATTTAAATTGTAACCATTCGTGTCTTTCTGGTTTTCGAGTTAATTGTTAAACACCCTGGTTTGGGAGTAAAGATGTAAGCAAACCTAACCTCTACCTTGAAGAGTAGATACAAATGTTTTTGAGTTAACTGTATGGAGTACGGACACGCAGAGAGAGAGAGAGGTTCAGGGGAAAACCCCTAAAAAATGAAAAACTGAAGAACACCCTGGTAACCTTTCATCTGGTGAACGTATGCACATGTGCATACAAGTAACTGAAGTTATTTTTTGGTTTTTATGCACGTGTGCATATCGGACAAATTACTTACAAATTACTTGTATGCACATGTGTATACCTTCCAGATGAACGGTTACCAGGGTGTTTCTCAACTTTTCACTTTTTTATCGTTTTCCCCTCAATATGACCCTATATAATTGTTTCATTGATTCCTAACATTAAGTGGCGTAAAAGAGGATAGTCCCTGCACATCTTCTTCATGGCTTTGTAAAGCCTTTTCTGATCTCGTTCCACAAATGCATGCGGAACAGGTTCCTGGAACATGGCGATGGATGCTAGGAGTAGCTGCCGTGCCGGCTATTGTTCAATTTGTGTTGATGTTGTTGATGCCCGAGTCTCCACGCTGGCTTTACATGAAGGTACAAACTTTACATCCAAGCACTGGGCTTTTTTCCTGCCCATTTTACCCTTCGTATGTAAAATGGTGTCTTTTATGTTGTATAGAAGAGCAAATCTGAGGCCATTGTCGTGCTGTCAAAAATTTATGATCCGTATCGATTAGAGGAAGAACTCGACCAGCTTTCTTCTACTTTAGAGGAAGAAAACCAACGCAAGAATGCCGTTAGTTATTTGGATGTTTTCAGAATCAAAGAAATTAGACTTGCATTTTTTGCCGGAGCCGGTCTTCAGGTATGCATCAGAGGGCTGTATAGTACATTATCCTAACAGATTCTCCAAAATGAAGAAATTAACATTTGGTTTTTTAACCTATTATTTTGCTCCAAAACTTTCTCGAAAATGGAGAAAGTAGAAAAGAGAGAAAAAACTCCAAATTTGAAAAATTGACCAAAATTAAATTTACTGCTCCCACCAATAAAGTTGAACTTGGGATTATGTGAGATCATCCTCTTTTTCGTGAGACAATAAAATAACACCGAATCTTCACATTAGAACACTGTGAAGGTACAAAAAACGTTGAACCTTCAAGGCAAAAACACTGGGAAGGTTTGGTTTTATACCTTCACAGTATTTTTGCTGAGAAGGTTCAATGTATTTTTGTGCCTACATAGTTGGTTTCATGAAAACATGCCGGTGTCGGGATCACCCAAAACCCCAAAAGTTGAATGTATTATCATTTCATATAGAATTGAGTAAATTACGTTTTTCGTCCTTGTGGTTTGTAAGAAATTACGGTTTGTGACCCTGTGGTTTTTAATTCATTGATATCTTCATCCTTATGATTTAAATTTGTTGCTTCCGTCCTTGTGGTTTACAATTCTTTACTGTTTTGGTCCCTTGTAATTAAACGTAGGAATTTAGTCCAGGGATGAAAATAACAATAAATTGCAAATCATAAGGACTAAAATTGCAATTTCTAAACCACAAGGACGAAAATAGAAATTATTAACAAATCACATTTACGAGAAAAATCGTAATTTACTCTAAATTTATTTGAAAATATGTTGGGATGTTAAATCTATTGAATATTTTAATAATATAATTATGTTGAAATATTTAAAATAGAGAAACAGTTGGAGTTGAATGCGTTTTTTTCCTTCAGATTTTAATTTTTGCTTCTAATTTTAGAGAAATTATAAAGAATCTGTTCGAGAAGTCGCCAAATTATAATTCTGAAGAACACTTTTTTTAATTTGCAGGCATTTCAACAGTTTACTGGGATTAACACTGTGATGTATTACAGTCCAACCATAGTTCAAATGGCTGGTTTCAGTTCAAACCAATTAGCCCTGCTACTGTCCCTTGTTGTTGCATTAATGAATGCCGCCGGTACGGTCGTGGGAATCTATCTCATCGACCATTTCGGCCGCCGGAAGTTGGCTTTGAGCAGTTTATTTGGTGTCTTTCTGTCCTTGATTCTCCTCTCGGCTGCATTCTTTCTTCAATCATCGGGTTCCACCAATGTAGGTTGGATCGCGGTTCTTGGGTTGGCTCTTTATATTGCGTTTTTCGCACCTGGTATGGGCCCGGTTCCATGGACCGTGAACTCGGAAATATATCCGCAATCGTATAGGGGAATTTGTGGAGGAATGTCAGCCACTGTGAACTGGATATCGAACTTGATAGTGGCTCAAAGCTTCCTTTCAGTTGCTGACGCTGTCGGGACTGAGTGGACGTTCTTGATACTTGCCGCCATCACGGTGGCAGCAATCAGTTTCGTGTTTGTTTTTGTACCCGAGACCAAAGGGTTGACTTTCGAAGAAGTCGAGAAGATATGGAAGGAGAAAGCATGGGGAAGCAGCCATGGCACCGAATCTTTACTCGAAAACGGAGACGAGTCGTAAAGTACGACTTCAGCTTCGACGTTTGCAAGTGTATGTAGCCGGTTTTTGTGGCTATTTGGGTTTTTAGCGATGGTTATCGTTGTTTACTCGAAAAGATGTATAGGTGTGTTTTATGTTTGAATATAAACCACGTTGTTGGTTTCGTTTGACGTTTGCAAATAGTTTTATCTTTCCGATTTTTATGTCGGGTATCATTGTCGAATTCTTGGAAATGAATTCAATTAGTGTTTGTTGGTCGGGAGACGGGTTACGGATGAATATCCCGATCCCGATCAGTAATAGGTTTTGATAAAAAGAAACCTCAGTTGATTTATAATCATGTATGTCGTTTGGAACAGAAAGATTTGTAATTTTATATCAAAGAATTATATTTTATAGATTTGTTTCGTTGTTTAGGGATGAAAATAATAATGAATTACAAACCATAAGAACAAAATAACAGTTTTTAAACTCTGTCCTTGGTTTTATTTTTCTGTCTTTTTAAAAAATTCATGTTTTTAATAAAAAAAAATTTGATTGGAGGGACCGCTATTAAAAAAAAAGAATATAAGATAATAAAAATATGGCTGAAAGATCTCCTTTGTAATTTATTTGTTTGATTTCTTTCTAATTTATTATTAAATTCATAATATTATTTTATTACAATTTTGCCACCTATTCATTTATATTGAAAATAAATCATGCACGTTTTTACCTTGGTATACAAATATTTTAGAATATCTATATATATAAATACTATATATATATGTATATATATATATACACACACACTATATGATAAAATATTTGACAAAAATTCTTGAAAAATATTTTTTATGCATGAAGTATTGCTTATTAATGTATATTACTTAAAATTCAGTATTACAAGTAAATTATGTATAAGTATAACTTATTAAAGCTTCATGTTTGGATTCATGTAACTAACTGCAAATAAACATAATCAAATAGATGATAAGTATCTCATTTTAAATATAAAATATAATTAGAATAATTATTAATTTCAAACAAAATACTTGATTATTATCTTTATAAAAAATTAAATTATGAAACCAAAAATAAAAAATGAATTAAAGAAATACACAAAAAAAAAAATTAAATAGCTAGTTTAGTACCAATATCAATATTTTTTTCTTCAGTTTTTTATGATATCTTCATATTAATATTTTATTCAAAAATAAAAACATTATCATTTTAACAAAACCAAATAAAACCATATTATAACATCGACTGAGACAAAAACAAAAATAAACATTAAAATCGAAATTTATCTTGCTGCATGTGCAAGTATTAGTCTTATATATATGATTGGGTTCACGTGAGACAAGACTGTTTTCGTGATACACGATTTTTACACTTGAAAACTTCACAACAAAATGTTGTGAAGGTAAAAAAAAACCGAATTTTCACAACAAAAACACTTTGAAGGTGACATTCAAAGTGTTTTGTTGTAAAGTTTCAAGTGTAAAAATTGTGTCTCACGAAAACAATCTTATCTTACATGAACCCAACCCTCTATATATATATATATATATGCATACAGATAATCAAAGATGTTTTTTGATTTCTATGCACGTATACATACTATAAAATTTATTTACAAATTACTTGTAAATTATGTTAAATTATGGCAACAAATAGCTTAAACCTGAATGGTTGGGTCATTCATATTATTGTTTGGTTAACACAACTCCAAAATACTTGGAAAAAAAAATACAAAACAAGAGTTATTGTAGGCTAATTGTACAAGATTTATTTGTTTGACTAATTCAACCTTCCATCTTTTGAAGTCATATAAGGCATGCTCCAAAGATACGTGTCACCTCATCTAATCTTTTATTTTATTTTTATTTGATTTGACCCAAAAAATATCTTAACCACAAACATTTTTTTTCTAAAATAGTTATCCATATATATATATATATATATATATATATATAATATTATATACTGAATCAAAAAACTTATTTGTCTTTTATACACAACAGAAAATCAAACAGGTTGTGGGATGCGAACCCACTTCCAGGATGAATTCTTCCGTTGCTACTTCAGAAAAAGAACCAGCAGGTTGAAGCTAGGTTAGCGAAAGATGGTCATTGGTTCAAGGACGTAAAGAATAGTAACGGCAAATGTTAAATTTTGGAAATAGAATATCAAAAATACTTGGATAATCCAATGATCGTGTATAGACACTTTCCAAAATCTGTAATTTCAACCCTGTAGCATGGGGTACCACGAAATCAGATTTGGGATAATTCAAGAACAACGTTCTTGAATTTCGGGCAAAATCCAAGATCAAACATAGAATTTCCTTGCTTGTTTATGTATCTTAAAAGGCAAAAATCCGACAGAGTAGCGGTATGCACCAAGATCGTCATGTTGCAATTACCGAATCGAAATCTTATATATAGCTATTGGTGGTTAAGTCAGTTATTTTGGCGGGACTCGTGTCTATTCCTAATAAATGCAATTGTTTAGGAGTTTGGATCCATTTCTTACATACAGATGAATTTTATGGCTGGGAAAGCAACCATGGCTCTGCCCCTTGGATCCCACCATGGGCGTTTCCCCCAGACCCCTGCGTACCCTAAATTAACTTAACTTATCCGAATGTGCACTCCGCACCTCCGGGCTCGAAATATAGCTAAGTCTAATTTCAGCCAATCTCACATTAATCCCGATCATACTAAATGACTTGATAATACTAAAATCACCAACGGCGAAAGCACTCTGCTGGCTTGATACTGACACTAACCATCAGGGTTCAAGATGACCGGCTCTTGGGAGCATCAGGTGTAAGATCGAGCAGTATCTTAATCCATCTTGTGACGTGTCTTCATCTTTTTAGTTCATGAAAAACGGAACCGTGTAAAATATAAAAACGTGAACGCTTTGTATCGAGTCATGATACTGACGTGGTTGTATGTCAAAATCGAATCGTGTTAGTTAAATCAGTTTTAGATTGATGATGATTTTTGATGTTTGAACGTTTTATGCCGACCGATTAATCTAACGGTAATAAATATTGTTTAAATATTAAAAGAGGTTGGTAGGTACAATGAATATGTGATTGGGTGGGTGTGTACATAGGGAAGAACATGGTTCACCCGAATGGTGGTGACCGGAGATTGATGGTGACCCTCCACGTGGTATGTTGGATCTTCAATTGTCTCTTCTTCCTCCCTTGGTCCCTACCCATTTCCCATGGTCTCTGCCTCACGCAATCCTACATCACCACATATCGTCTTATTCTCGAACCAAATATTCAATTGTTATTAATTTATTTTAACTTATATTTAATTAAATATAAATTAATTAAAATAATCATTTTTTAAGGTTGGTTTCACTTCTTAGTCATTTTCTCTTCACTTTTACCAATATAGTCATAAGTCCGTAAAATATTAGATCTGCAATTACGGACCCAACTAAATGACAAAAAAATTACACTTTATACCCCTGTTCGCAATATCATAGGTCTATAATTGCGGATCTACCCCTGGACTTTCAAAAGTTGCACTTTCTTTGTGGACCTGGCTTTTTGTAGACCTACACGTGTCAGACCCCGATTGAAACTCTATCTGTTAACTATATCCAGATCGCAATTTTCACCTTTGACCTCTGCAATTTGTCAACAAATTGTCAATTTTCAGTTGTTTTATACATGTTTAATTGCGGACGTACACTGTTTTTTTCAGCAAAACCTGAAAATGATGTGAATTTGTATTATCTTCCAGTAATAGGTTGATGGTTGGTTGGATGAATTTAATTCATCTGGTCTATAAGTAGCAACGGTAGTAGGATGAATATATACAAAAAAAGCATAACTAGCTTAATTTCTTTCTTTATTTGTTCATCATATATTTTTGTTTCTTCGGTTCATTTGTAAATGAGTTCCAATATTACTATTTTGTTTCTTATAAAATGACATTGTTCATAATATAAACCAGCAGTACGCTATCACTATCTGGTACCACCAAGGTTGGCGTGCTAGATGTAATGTACTACAAATAGATGTACAGATAGGTAGGTCCACAATAGAAAGTGTAACTTTTGAAAGTCAAGGGGGCAGATCTGCAATTGCAGACTTAGGATATCGCAAACAGGAGTAGAAAGTGTAATTTTTTTTGTCGTTTAGCTGGATCTGCAATTGCGGACCTGGTGTATTGCGACCTATGACTATTTTGGTAAAAATGGGGAAAACATGGCTAAACGGTGAAACCTACCTTGAAAAATGGCTATTTTAATTAATTTCCGTGATCCATATCCATATGTTATATTTGGGCACAAACCTAAGTGTCTCCATGGGCAAGGACGGACCCAAGTTGTTTTGGTGCTGGCATGTGCCATCATTTCATTCATCCGTTGTTGTGTAAGAAATTATAGGATCGTGAAAATATCGTAATATCAAATTGAACACCCGCAATTCCAACTGGTCCTACACGGAATCTGTCTCCAAGAACAAGAACGGACCCAAGTTGTTTTTGTGGTGGCACGTGCCACTATTTCATTCCTCTGTCGTAGTGTAAAAAACTATATGGTCATTAAAAGTCTCACCGTATCAATTTGTTGTGTGTCATTGTATATATTTTCAAGCTACAATTAAGACACAAATTTCTCTTGATAAAGTTGGTTTGCAAGGCTTTTTTTCCACCTAAGCCCCGAGTTTTTAGTTTCATTTTTTAGCTTTTAGTTTTTAGTTTATGTTTCTGAAAAAAAATTGCAATAAAAGACTTGAACATAAGACCTTATATACGACAATCAATGAATTAACCAACATAACAATGATGATTTTGTGAAAAATGTCTATATTTGTCTCTTATAGTCAAATGGTGTCACCGCTTCAAAAATTAATAGGTTTGTCACCAATGTGAAATTGCATACCTATATCTAATTACATATTTGATCTCTATATTTGCAGATCTAGTTCTAAAACCTTTTTTTTACATTTAACCCCTTTCGCAAATGAAAAAACTGTTACTTGTAAAGGTAGTAATTTATACCATATCATAAAACATTTGACAAAAACTCTTAAAAATCATTTTTTATGCATAAAGTACTGTTCATTGATGCATATTACTTAAAATTCAAGATCACAAATAAATTATGTGTATGTACAACTTAATAAAGTTTCATTCTTGAATTCGTGTAACTAACTATAGATAAATATAATCAAATACTGGATAAACATTTCATTTAAATATAAAAAATCTAAAATATGGTTACGATAATCATTAATTATAACAAAATATTTAATTATTATATTTACAAAAAATTATATTATTAAACAATAAATAAATTACTTCATTATCAAAGCTAAATTAAATTATACGTAAAATAGTGAGTTAAATAAATTATACAAAAAACGAGAACTTTAAATAGTAAGTTTTATATTAATATCGATATATATATATATATATATATATATTTCTCAAATTTTTATGATATCTTTAAATTTATATTTTATTAAAAAATAAAAAAATTTATCATTTTTTCAAAATCACTAAAAACCGTATTATATCAACAGAGACAAATAATAAAACAAATTTCGTTATATTACCCAAGCATTTTTATAATATTTTTAAGTTTAAGAAAAAAATATTTAGAAAACAAAATCAAAGTCTGAAAACGATTATTTTAATAAATTTCATTTTTTTTTTTTTTACTTTTTTCAGCGAGGCGAGACTACACCATGGTATGCATGTGTGTACATGATGGATGGTGTCATATGTCATCTAATAGATGATGAGCTGTCATAACGAAGCAGTAGATCCGACCCGAATACAAAAGTGAAAAAGGGTACGTATCACCTACGCCGACAGGTGACCTCTGTTGAGTGTTGCCTCACTTGTATTTTATTTATTTATTTATTTAATTTTATTAATAAAAGCATATTCTTTTTATGCCATGTTGTATTGTTCACTTTGTGGCTCGATGATCCAATCATTACATATTTTCAACTAATTTTTTTTATTAATCTCAATATCCAACATGTTATGCAAGTCGATTAATCTTAGGACAATCACTTGTTTTACAGATAATCCGGAGTCATTGTATTTGAATTTTCGTGATCATGAAGGGATGTTTATTTCTTTTCGGATTTAAAGCTGGGACCTTCAGATATTTTTTATTTTTAGAGTACAAACTCAAACTAATCAGACACCGTCTTTTAGGTTTATTTTTTGAACTAATTTATTAAATAATATATGGACATAAAATAAAATAATTATTTATCAAGTGGATTAGGAAGGACAGCACAAGTGTGGTGGCCTTAGATTTATTTATTTCTATAATTATTGAGTTATAAAGAAATTGGTAACTTAAAATCTACAAGATATTGATTTATTACAATATAAAAATTTGGTCATTTCATTGAATCCCAAATCGCATTAATGATATATTTGGTATACAGATAGGCAATATAAAGTAGGGCAGGAGATATAATATTTAGTTAATTTTTTCAATTTATATATATAGGAGCGATCAAATGAAAATCACCCTCATTTATATAAACCGTACAAACCATCCTTATACGTCGATCTCATTGTTTAATTTTATGAATTTTTTTTCTTGAAATTGTTTCATATAATATTTTTTTGATGAATTTGTTTCATATATGGTTATGAAATTGTTTCATATCCAAGAAGGAATAAMAATCCTCTTGTGGCCACGGAGGTTCAAATGCGGTGACTCCGGGCTATCTGCAAAGCAGATGGTCGCCCTGGGATTAGTAAGCTCGCATAGCGGGTTGGATATCCAGGTTAATAAAAAAAATTGTTTCATATAATATTTAATAAAACTGTTTCATGTATTTTTTTAAAATTAAAATAATGAAGATGATAATATCCATGATTAACACCCTATACAATAAAAATGGTTAATCGACTTCTCATAATTACAAAAAAATGAACAAAATGAAAAATTATGATTGGTTGAATGTGGTTTTTACGGTTTATACAAATTGAGTGATTTTTATTTGAACGCTTCTCTCTTTCTCTCCATATATATATATATATATATATATATATATATAGTATAGACTTAGTATCATATGAGACCAAGGGTTTTTCGTGAGACCCGTAAGAACAATTCTCAACCCTTGGATTAGATCTACAATCTGAACATTTATAATCACAAAAATTGCCACGAGACTTCTCAATAATCACAAAATTGTCACCGTACAACTTTAGACCATTAGATCATTAGCTTATAAAGTTGATTAATGAACATTAATTGGTCTTACGGGTCTCACGAAAAACTCTTTTCTCACGTGAACCCAACCCTATATATATATATATATGTGTGTGTGTGTGTGTGTGTATTTATACAGTTACTGAACATATATGTGAATGCGTTATATAGAGATGTAAATAGATTGAAACTATGTATATATGAAAAGCGTACGTGATAATGTAATTGTCTAATTTATATATTAATAGAAATTCAACAATCATATTAAATCCAATAAATTAAAAGGTTATCGGGTTGAGTTGAGTTCAAATAATAGTAACTCAATACATACGGTTTAAAGTTTTACAACTCGATTAGACATCAGGTTACTTCGGGTTAAGTAATTCGCGTTGGGTTGGTCGGGTTTTTGAAGCACCCCTACTCTTGTGCTTGAGGGCTGTGTTTTGTTAGTTTGTTGATACTACCTGCAAGGTTGCTCTCTACTCGTATCTTTTGTTTCGTTGTTTCGATTTCGTAGTTCTTTTTTTTATGTTTATGTCGTCTTTTTTGGTTGTTTTATTTGTCGGGTGTTATAATTCCCGGTGCTTATTTTGGTTTGTTGGGTTTTTCGGTTCTACTCCCTGCATATCTTTCAGACTTGTTTTTGTATCTCCTTCGTTCTGTTTAATATATCTGATTGTCTTTTTAAAAAAATATAAAAATTATTATGTTCTCATAATATAATAATCCAATATGTGTTTGATGCTATATATATTTTTTCTTGGTTATTGGATCAAAATATTCCATGATTAATAATATAAATAGAAAATAAAATACAGATCCAATCATAGCACTTAATTAATTTTGTAATTATTAAAGGAAAATATTATATGCATATTTTATGTTAGAATCAGTTTAAATCATGTCTTGAGAATGTACACAGCAAGAGGTCATTTATCTGGATAAGCACATATGCTTATTTGGTAAGCACTTACTTTACCGAATAAGATTATGATCCATCAAAACGGTATCATATTCAACAATTTACCCACTAAACGTTTATCGAATAAGACGCTTCATTCTAATCATCGCTCATATGGTAAGATTCTTGGCTCTTGTCGTGTTCAATCGATAAGATAAATGACCCGGTAACCGTTTATCGGATAAACGTTTATTAGTAACGAATTACTGATAATTTTTCATTGTAGTTTTAAATTGATTTATAAGTCAATTCGTTTACCGAGTTTTGGCTCAAGACATTATAAACGATATAAAAGTGACGAGTCTGGCAGATTTAAAAATGACTCGATAATTATGATTTATTATTAAATTCATTCAGACATCAGTCACAATTGTAAAAATCTGTGCTTTTTATAAACTTTAAATGATATTATAATTTCAAACCCGTTTAAAGATTATCAGAACAGTCTATTACTTTGAACTAATCGAACTGTAGTTTTTTGTTTGATCTAAAAAAAACCATATAAACTTAATCAATCAGATATCAGATATATCATAATTATAACAATAAATAAATTTTTGGTGCACCAAATTAAGTAGGTATTGACCATTTGACCAAATTGCATGGTTGTCGTTTGACAATTTACTTAAAACGACTGCCTCCTTTTAATTGTGCCTATTTATTATTCTTGTTAAGTATCATGTTCACATTTCTTTTCTTTTTTTCATGAACTCGGATTATTTCGTGGTAGTCAAAGTCACTGTATTTGAACCTCTGTAGTTATAAGAGGATTTTTATTTCTTCTTAAATTTGAATCTGAGATCTACAGATACTTTTAACCTTCAAAGATCAAGCTTAAATCAATCAGACACCACTCTTGTGGTTCATGTTAACAGTTCTTTCTTTTATCATATATATATAAATTGATTAAATTTTTATTTATTTTTAAAGTAAAATAATTATTTCTCAATAAACTAATAAAAAGTAACAATAAATAAATTGAAATTTACTGTAAAAATATACAGTTTGTACATGTGATAAGGGTGTTGTTGATGTGATATTATAATCTATCAGGACCATCACATGTGATGCTAAATCATAGACGCAGACAACCTTTGGTGTTGGTTAAATCATAAAACACATTACACATCGTCCGCACATCACATGGTCTCCTCAAACGTGATCTTGAGTTTCATCAAAACAAAGCTTTTTAAGCGAAATTCAAAAGTACACGGGTTGGTTATAAAATATTGTATTTACTGGGTAAATGCCACATACATACATTTATGTATGACAAGTGATACATACATACATACATACATGTATGCATGGCAATGACACATACATACATACATGATACATGTATACATGGCAAATTTGCAATGATGGGCTGCTTAAGATTCTTTTAAAAGCCGACTCTTTCCTCTCACATAACCACTTTTTTCACACACAAAAAGAAAGAGAAAATTTGCAGAAACAACAACAATGGGGAGCTGTTCATGTGCATCGATATCTTCGATTCCTGAAAGGATCTTCCATGAAGAACAATACTCGGAGCTTGAATTTTCAGATGAAACAGCGATTGATCACCAAAATCGATCTGCGTTTTTCAAGTACGAAGATTCATGGTCGAAGAACAACAGCAGCATTCGGAGGAAGAAAAATCAAGTGTTCCTTGAAGGTTACGTGGAGACATCCGATGAAGATGATCTCGTTAGGGCTAAGAGCTTAACCGACGAAGATCTCGATGAACTCAAAGGCTGTTTCGATTTAGGGTTTGGGTTTAGTTACGATGAAATTCCGGAGCTCTGTAACACTTTGCCGGCTCTCGAATTGTGTTATTCCATGAGTCAGAAGTTTCTAGATGAACAACAGAAGTCACCGGAGGTGTCGTCGCCTAGGGCGGCGGAACCTTTGAATGAAACCGCGTCACCGCCACCGCCACCGCCACCGCCACCGGCTCCTATTGCTAATTGGAAGATCTCCAGTCCTGGTGAGTGTTTTTGAATCTGTTCTTTCGGATTTGATTAAAATTCAATCAGATCTGGTTGGTTACCAGCAAATTGTGCCCAAAACCTTCATTATAGATGCTTATTCTATGAATTCTATGCAATTATATATACACTCTGATCATGTGAGATGTGAGACTACATAAATAACACTAAATGCTGTAAATCTTTCACAGCAGAACACTCTTCACAATGTTTTTGTTGTGAATATTTGCTGTGAAACTTCAAATGTTAATTTGTGGCCACATTCTCTGTAAAAACAGTCTGGTATCAAGTGAACACAATCCATAGACAACTCTCACAATGTTTTTGCAGTGAATCTTTGATGTTTTTTTTACCTGTCACCAACTTCTTGACATGAAGTTTCAGTGTTATTTCCTGATCTAACGGTTTTACAAACATAATGTTTTTTCTGGAAAATGTAAAAAATGAAAATTTGATAACTATTCATCTGCAAATAGAAGTAATTTGTCGGGTGCAGTGCATACAAGTAAATTGTCCGGTCAAGAAACATACCCAGTTCTTGTGTATTCAAGAAACATACCCAGTTCTTGTGTATTCAAGAAACATACCTAATTCTTGTATACATATGTACATACCATCTAAATAAATGGTTATTAAGGTGTTCATCAGTTTTTATATTTTTGGGATTTTCCCACATAAACTCTATGTATATACCCAATGTGTGTATATATATATATATACACACACACATATTACAGAACATAATGTGGGTCTAACTCTAATTGGGTTAAAAACTTGTGTAGGTGATCATCCTGAAGATGTGAAAGCAAGGCTCAAGTATTGGGCACAAGCAGTAGCTTGCACAGTTAGATTATGCAACTAGCAAATTTTATGTTTTTATGCACCAGTATGAGATAAAATTCCCGATCTTGGAGACGCAATTGTGCTATGGTTGAACCTCCACCACCGTCTGCTGGCGGTGGAGGAGGGAGGAGGTGGTGAACTTTCCGGCATGATGATAACTTTCGAAATCTTGATCTGGAGATGGATAATTGATTGATTTGATTTCCGTCGATGAGGGGTTGCGGTATGAAGAAACGAATGAGGGTGGACGACTCTAATCTTGTATTGATTCTAATGATTTTGACAGCCAAAATTGATAGTTTGTATGATGATTTCATTTGTAATTTGAGGAATAATAATGAAATAAGAGTTTTCCATCTCCTTTTAGTTTCTAAATGGATTTGGTTTCATGATTTATCGTTCGTGGATCGATGGATTAATTGTGTTTCGGGCGTAATTGCGCATGCCTTTCGAGCATGAATAGATAAAAGATAAGGGTGTTTCAGATATAAACCAATTTTAACTATCTATCTGGTCTAATAATATTTGATTTCATCAATATCATAGATACGGTGATGATTAATGAACCTTAATCATGTTCCATAAATATTTGAAAATTTTGAAAACCCGCATCATTTCTACAAATATCTATGAATGACATGGTTTGTGATTGATATAATTATCAAATTCAAAAATACGAAGGAGAATTTGTATAACCCTGTTAGATTATTTTTTACATAACATTATTTAGAAATTGAAGGAGGATATATATATATATATATAGACTTGGGATCATGTGAGACCAAGAGTTTTTCGTAAGACCCATAAGACAAATTCTCAATCATTGGATGAGATCTATAATCTGAACATTCATAATTACAAAATTGTCAAGAGACTTCTCCATAATCACAAAATTATCACCGTGCAACTTTAGACTATTAGATCATTAGCTTATAAAGTTGATCAATGAATATAAATTGGTTTTACGGGTCTCACGAAAAACCTTTGATCTCACGTGAACCCAACTCTATATATATATACACACAAAAACTTAACCTAAACAATCTATGACAAATTTGCTCGTAAAACCACTGAAATAACACTCATAACTCCCGGTCTCGGAAGAAACGCAGCATCCATGGATTTTCCTTCCTTTTACCGCATTTCACTAACTGGTAAAAAACCCCCCGAAGAAACGAGATAGAACTCTGTAGGGTTTGCAAGAACTCGGATAAAACGTATGGAACCTTTCTTCTATCCAAAATAGGTCAGTCAAAAGATTAAAATGGTTTACAATACAACTAGACACCAAAAGTTTTACTTAGATTGAAAAGACATCAAACACTGAAAAACAATCTTCTTCAATGGACACGAAGGTTTCTAACTCCCTCTTCAACTTCAGAATGAAGACTCTTCTTTCTCCATCTCCAGTAATTTACTCTCATCGGATCCACGATCTCCAAAACCGAACAAATGGTTACCGCCATATCTGAATCTTGATCTCTTGATTCTGGAAGTAGAGCTTCAACGGCGTTCTTCAGTTCTTGGTTTGGTTCAAAACCGTTGGAGAGGAGATCCAACAGCAGGCTAAGAGCGAACACACAGTTGGCTTTGGTGGTCAGAACCGTCAGGCAAACGGTTGAGACCCGGCGGTCCATTACAAAAGATGGCATGCTGTTTTTATAGAGACCGCGAAGGTATCTCCATGAACTTTCATTCTCTGGCTTCGTCAGAATGGCTTTTACGGCATAACTAACCTCGGAATCTCGTGTAGCCTCTATACCTCCCAATCCAGGGTGTCTAGTTATCACAAAGTATCTCTGCAAACAGCAAGTAACAAAATTTAGGGGCCGTTTACCAACATAAATTGGGTAAGCGCTAACTACGTAACAATGCAGTTTGGGTAAGTAGTTCGGTCTAGGTAAGCACGGACAGAAAATTGTTGTTTACCAAGTACTCTCCCCTCATAACAAAATAAATGTCCACCATGAAGAAGTCTCGGTTTTAAAAACATGTAATTATTACACTTTTTAATTAACTAAATGACAATTTTACCCTTAATAATGATGAATTTCTTCTGTGCGTATTAAGGGTGGAATTGGATACACTTTTTTTGTAGTTAACAGTTAAGTAGTTATTTTGCGACAGACAAATAGAAATGTGGACATTTATTTTGTGATGGAGAAAGTATTTTATAAAAGTGCTTAACAATAATTTTTTTTGAGTAAGCATCGGCTGACTCGTCAGTGACATATTGGTGTCTGACTCAGTCAATCGGAAGTGTAGATGAACAACATCATCTCTAACCAGGTAAGAGGCTATTATCCAATAAGAGACTTGGGGGTAATTTACTTAACACTTACCGGGTAAGCGCTTACTAATCACTTGGTAACTGTTTACCTTACCAATCGAGCATGGCAAGAACTGAGAATCTTACTCTTACCCGATAAGAGGCATACCAAGTACCAAAGAGTTTTACCCAGTAAGTGAAGGAAAAGACTCTTACCCGGTAAGCGCTTATTGGGTTCAAGACGCTTACCAGCAATCCATTTTGATGGCCGAGAATGTTACACGATAAGGTAAGTGAAGGTGATGTCTCTTGCGGGTAAGCGCTTACCATCTGGTAAACAGCCCCTTAGAGACGGTCAACACTTCAGATGCACAACTTGAAACAGACAACCGAGAACTGGTTACAGTCTGGTTTGCTGGTAGGGACCTACCCATGAACGCAACTACCCAACTTTGGATCTAGAATCGGTGTCTAATGGTTGGTCCCATTTTGCAAAAGTTCCCTACATTAATTCTGTAGCTTGGATGGAACACAGACCACCACAAGTCCAGAGCTTAACCACATGCTAAATTGGGATGTTGGTGATCCACCAAAAGTACATGATACACACAGCACATGGTTGTGTGTAGTTTTCAAGCAAACAAATATATGCAAAGCACATGCCCCTGTTGCAAGGGGAGTTTGATCAATTAATGTCCAATGTGTGACGGAAAAATCGGACCACAAATCTACTGCCTAAATATAGATCTATACATGTGCGCCATCAAATTCAACTTCGTGGTTGTGTAAACATGACTTCATAAAGATTTTCATATCGAACCAATTGTAATTAATAATTGAAGTTCTTCAAGACTCTCGACAGACTGACAATAGGACAACCAATAATGCTTTTAAAAACCAGGAGATCTAGAAATTTACAAAGATCAAATTATATAGCACTATAGGAGGGAACTAGCAAGCCACCAATTAGATCTAGCATCATGAATGATTATATTTGAAGAAAGACGTAAATAATACAAAGAAATGAAGAATATGTTGAATTATGAGTTATGACAGTAGTTTTGGACAAAACTGAACATGTCTATACTGGGTATCAATGGTAGAGACAACAAAATCTTGAAAATGACAAATATATAGACAAAACAGTTCTAGGACCCCCAAGAGCACAAAGAACATTTTGGCCCCATTGATATCCTTATGATCCATCCAAGTATTCACCATTTTCCGACTACATTATTAGGGGCGTATTTATTTCTTTTTTCCAATTAAGACCTGTAGGGATAAAAAATAGTCTAATGACAGGAATTACCATTTTAAAACCATGTCTAGATTAATTGATTAAATGTTGAACGAGAAATTATTGTATGATAAATGTTTTGAATGACCAAAAACATCAATATAGATTTTTTATTGCTTTCTCATCTCTTTATCAATTGTTTAACTTCACATGTTGAATTTGTATTAAAGAAATATGTACATTTTTTTTTTGTTCTTTTATAATTTTCACACTAATCTTTTTGCTTATCACATATAAAATGAGATGGGGAAGACTGAGGTGGTTTGGGCACGTTCATAGGAGACATATATCGGCATTGGTGAGGAGGGTGGAGAACGTCAGGGTTGAAGGTGTGAGGAGGAAGGGTAGGCCGAGGACGACGTGGGACGAGCAACTTAGACAGAACATGGAGGCTTTAGACATTTCAGAAGAAAAGACAGAAGATAGAAGTTCGTGGAGACGCATAGGGTAGAGATTGTGTTTGAGAAATTATGGTTGATGGGAAAAGGGGTGTGGAGATGGATGGGGTTTGGGGGAGGGTTAGAGAGTCATCCCCTACTTCGTCCTTAGTTTAGAGGTATTGTACCCTCTCACGTGCCTGTATTGTCCTTGTGTGCTTTATTATTCTTTCTTCTTATTTTTTCTTTGACTTCCCTAACCCGCTTTCTTAGCATTTATTTATTTTTTCTTTTTCTTCTCTAAAACTTTTGTCCAACTTTTGGAACCAATATTTTCTCGCAAAATCCTATCTCCAAACCTTGTTACAAGTTGAGGATCTTCATGGAAACAAGTTTTTGGAGTATCACATCGGCTAGACTTGGACCATTTCCTCTCAATATATGTTGGAACCTCCTTTCTCTCCTCAATGGCTCTTTGAGAGTGAGGTTCTACATATTTTTACATGGTGTCGGAAGTCGGAACCAAGGCCTACCACTCTTCGGACTCGACACTCTTGGACACCCGTCTAGCCCCAACAGTCTAGGACAATCCATGCACATCTAGCCTTCGATGGAGGGGGAGCGTTGGAGTCCCACATTAGCTAGACTCAGACCATTCCTCCTTGATAGATGTTGGAACCTCCTTTCTATCCTCAAGGGCTCTTTTGAGGAGTAATCTAATTGGGTTCCACATATTCTCAGACAACCTCTAAATAAGGTCTGTGTATATCCTACCCCCCCCCCCCCCCCACAAAACCCCTAGTTTGTGTGGGATTAACCAGTTCATTTGGTTTGGTTTTCACCAGATGATTGATTTAAATCTGAAGTATGACCAAAAAAAACATAGCAAGTACGTACTTTTTGTTCAAATATGACGAAATTTTACAAACCAAAGTTCTCAATATATGTTTAGTCTACAAATTATAACCTTTGACTGATTTATTGACTTATTGAACTTATATAATATTAGATTTAGTTATTACTAAAGATAATAACTAGATGGAAAAATTGGTAGTGTCATATCAAATGGTAAAATTTGAAAAAATGGTGGCTTAATGTGAAACTGACAAAGCTGGTGGCTTAAAAAGTATGCCACTAGCTTATTGACTAAGTAAAAAATAAACATACTTATATGGCTATGCGAATAAGCTGCTCAGACAGTTGAGCCATAAAAAAGAACATCTAGGTTGTATTAGCTTTAAGCACATGCTAAATACACCCAAAAAAAACTACTTGATTTTCTTGCAGTGAAATTAACAAAAGACTAACAAAGGATATCGAAGTCATGGAATGCATGAGGTTAGAAAAAAGATTTCGTGTTGAGGAACTTGATCTATACCTGATTCCAAGCAGAATTGTTGAAGATATCATCTTCCAGAAGTTCATCACAGTAAGCAAGTTCATCTTCCCAGCCTCCAAGAGTTTGAAGAACCCACTGGAGAGAAAGGAATAGATAAAAACTGAATCTCAAAATTCATGTGGGGAACACAAGTATCAAAACTGAAAGCCTTTACACATTGTAGTAAAAATTAATAGCTACAAATCAACTTGTAGGATCGTAGGAGTGATCTATCAAATAAAGTTAAATACTTGTTGCTCTTCTTGTTTTTTTTTTTTTTGAAGTATATAATATTTATATACGGCAAATGCAACAAATAAACTCACACACTCTCCTCACCTATGGTGAGGTTTGAACCCCTGACCTCCTAGAAGGTCAAGGGCTACGATACCGCTAGACCAAAGTCCCTTTGGTTGCTCTTCTTGTTATTGTCGTCGTCATACTGACGGCAAAAGAAAGGATTTGTTGTGGGCAAGTGATAATAGTTCCTTTCTTTCTTTCTTGCATAATCGATTAAAGAGGACTGAAGCATACCTGTCTATGAGACCAAGCATGATAATTTTTAGCATCATTTACGAATATCTTCTTGGTGAATTCAAGTTCTCTACCAGCAGCTTCAGTCCCCAGTTTCTCAGCAACCCACCTCCTGTGGTGCCTATACTAAGAATATTTTTAATCATCATTTACTTACTCTAATTCTACTGCAAGAGAGTACTCTTAGACGATGATCTACAATCAAAATAATTATAAGGTAAAAGTAAAAAGTATAGAGGTAACAAGTAAGCAATTGCCTGGTATAAATTCTATCACCAACGGTGATAACGAATTTGGTTAATAAGAATGATAATAAATTCTACTGTTAACTTTCTAGCAGCCAAGTTACATAAAAGATACAATAAATCTTCCAGTGTAGGAAAGTAGTGATTGTCACACCCCTTGCAGTTATACTCGTTTTCTTCCTATAAGAAGGGGTATGATTTCATGCATAAGCATATTTCAACTCAACTCAGACCTGCACACACAGAGAGGAGAAGATAATGCGAGCATTATTCAGTTTCATCATTACTATATTTTGTTACTATTTGAAACAAAGCATCTTCATCCTCGCATATTTAATCGTCTCTATCGCTTTATCCATAAATGAAAAGAGTTTATCGATCTCCTCGGTCATCTTTGCCATCTCAGGTTAAGAAATCTGCTAAGACATTTTTATCAGATTTTATAATTTCTATATCAAAACTGGGCTTGCCATCTAATCAATCTTTTATACGCGGGTTTTGAAGGTAAATTATTCCTGATAAATGCCTTTACCTGGGTATTATCGGCTCTTTGTAAAAAGTTTTTGGGTGATAGAAAGTAAAAAAAGATTGACAACTTTTTACTACAACAAATAATTCTATTTCATTTATAGAATATGTTGTTTGGGTGTCCATAAATGTACCAGAATAATATCTGCAAATACTTTCTCCAATTTTTCTTGTTCTGAATAATTTATTTTCTTAAGAACTCCACTCCAATAATTTTCAGAAGCATCAAATGATAATTGCTATTAAGGATTTATTTCAAGAAACTTCATTTAACTTTCAAAAAAATTCTCAGAGACTCTGAATCATGCTAAGAGAACATCAAAAATTTGATCTATTTATACGAAGATTATCCATCATGTTTTCATCCTCAAGTTAGCACACAAAAGAAACCTGAATTGTTTAATTGGACACTGCCTCACCATAGCTGATAGTTCTTTGAGTTTTTGCTAGCAAGATGCTCAACAAATTCTAATTCGTCATGCAAGTCAGCATTGAGAGCCTCGAGTATTAATCGTCTGAATTGCCACACCTGTGAAGGACAAAAGTAAATCATCTTTAAACAAAAGATACTTCATGTGATAAGTATCTGACTTGGCGTCACCATCAAAACGATATGGTTTAGGTTGCCAAACAAGATGGTTGTAGTATGCTCTTTACAAGCTAATTTAAACAAAACAGGAACAACATGCTATCTGAAGATACAGATTCAGACGGAATTAGCCGTGTCTCTTGACTCTCTTCAATATTATTGGCTGAAGAAATTGGACTGACCAGGTTTACGAGCACCAACTAGCAATTTCTAAATTCTTTCTATGGTCATTGCTGATGCTATATACGTTGTAAAATAGTGACTATGATAAAGTATCAAACAGGCCCAGACAAAGTTGTACTTTTTTTGCATCATTATTTTAATACCTGCATTCAGCTAATCTAGCATGGGAATAAAGCTGACCTTGAAATTTACACATTTAATTTGATATTTGAATGACAACTGGTTCCTGCTCAATGTTCCTCAACCTTCTGATGGGCTGGATAATATCATGACCATTTAAAGCTGTATTTTATCTCTGTCAATGATATAGGAGAGCATATTTGTAATAGTGACAATAAAGTCGATTCAGATATCATGCAACTTATGTTCTTAACTAGTTTAAATGAATATAATTAGAAAAAAGAACTGGAAGAGTCATATTGTATGAACCTGATAAGGTTGACCTAAAAAACTAAATATTTAGCATAGCCAAAACATCTTTGCTGACACAAAATCCTTCGCATACCTCCCACTTCCAGTTAGGTGGTTCAGTACTTCTTCCTTTAACCTTTTGCTATTGGCGTACAATTCCTATACATATGTACGCACCTACATATATTCTCTTCCTCTTCACTCACACACATACACCTCCCCTACTATTTAGCTTGCTAAGGTCACAACGAGGTCAGTTGAGGTCCACCAAAAGGGAACTAACTGCAACCAGTCAGGAGCTCCTCATCCTGTGGGACATTTTGAGAAGTACCACCCATGTCAATACAAGACACTTAGCATAATTATCAAAATCTTACTTACATTTTATTGCCAATCTTGCTTCCACTATGTTCCCACTTCCTGTGTTGCTTAAATTCTGATTTTCCTATTAAGAATTCCTTTCCTATTGTTATAACCATGTCATAAATTTTTCGAACCCCCAAATCCCCAATTACTTCTCTCTTCCCAAACCAGTACATTGGCATAAAAAGCTAAAGCTCAAATTGAGTGATCCAATTTCGGTGTGGTTTCCAGATTCAGAAACAAAGAAAGCCTATTTTTTTGGCCGCCATCAAAGTTATCTACGTTAAGACAATCAAAAGTTTAAACCGATCCACGCAAAAGCCATAAGTGACTGAACTCCAATACTTTTGATCAATGAAAACAGTTAAATTCACTAAATTGACAAGTGAAGTAGGATCAAATATACAATTTATAGTTTAGATTAGTTTGCGGTCAACTTCGCAACAAATTGAACTTCAACTATCATTACTATACCTAAATAAAAAGGTTACACTAAATCATATAAACACATAGGGATAGAAAACATTTATTACAGTGTAATTTCCAGCGTTGAAGTGAATTGCTTCGGCGGTAAGTTGAAGAGCGCGATGAGATCGCTCATCGGCCAAATATACAGCTCGGACGTACCCCATGGTCTCGGCGAACTCTTTGGAGTACGAAATAGGCACAACGGGGTTAGGACCATCATCTTGCGGTACCGGAGTGACGTCGGACCATTCCGGTCTCTGACTCAATGGTATCCTATCATCCTCATCTGAATCCATTCCGTCTACTCCGATGATTCTCCGATCCGGCGATCCCCCTCTCTCTCTAGAAGTCGAAAAGTCCTGCTTTTATTCTCTGCGCTTCTCACTTCTCCCCTTTACCATAAGAATTTAGAGTAAATTACGATTTTCGTCCCTGATTTTTGTTAATAGTTTCGATTTTTATCCCTGTGGTTTAAAAACTATGATTTTCGTCTTTATAATTTACAATTTATTGTTGTTTCAACCCTTATGTTTTATAATTATTTACTTTTTCGGTCCTTTATACTTTAAAGGTATGAATTACAAACAATAATGACAAAAATCATAATTTCTAAACCATAAGAACAAAAATTACAACTTTTAACAAACCACATGGACTGAAAACGTAATTTAGTCGAGAATTTAGAATAAGTGGATTACGGTTTTGGTCCCAATGTTTGGTGAGAGTTACGAAATTCATCCCTAAACTTTATTTATTTGCAGAAGATGCCTCAATATTTATATTTGTTTCAAAATTGATCCCTTGTACTAACAATCGTCCATTTCTCGGTTAAGCTTGATGGCAAAATGATCCATTTACCCTTTTTTTTCCCTCCATTTTAATTATTTATTTCTACAACTTTTATCTTTTTCAACCTTCGAGTCAACAAGAACCTTGACGATTCAAAAACCTAAATTAAATTCATTCAATAACATCAGCAACAAAGCAAAGACTTGGGCATGACATAGTCATGAACCCAAGTTCGAGCCCTAGGAGGAGAGTGTTGGCGACATTTAAGTGGGGCCATGTTTAGCCTCCAAAATTGCCGGGGATTAGTAGGGCTTTGGCCCGGACACCCTTACAAAAAAAAACAAAGCAATTTAAAATCAGGAAAACCATCATCAACAATAATTTATTATAATTTGTTTTTTGTAAATTCAGAGATTAAGGGGCCGTATAGCAAATGTTTATCGGGTAAGTGTTTATCTAGTTACATTACCTTATCGGATGAGTATAGCAAAAACCAATAGTGTTACCCGATAAGAGCGAGGCAACGACCGAGAGTCTTACCCAGTGAGTGAAGGCAAATGTTCTTACCACGGTTAACGCTCACCGGGTAAATTGTTGCATATATTGTCGTTTTTGTTGACTAAAATCTTACCCAGGAAGTAAATGATAGTGTTGAATTTTATCGATATGTGCTTACCAGATAAACATTTTGTAAACAACCCTTAAGTTCATAATTTGCATCAAACCATTGGGACCAAAATGTTAACATTTTATAAACAAAAGGAATTATTTTCATATTAATTTTCATTTTTAGTAAAATGATCTTTTTATATAAAATTAGACCATGCTTTAGCTTCATCTCTTTCATTAACAAATATCAATATAACTGATCACAGACGATCCTTGTATTATGAGTATGACTGCAAAAACCAGGGGCGGGCCCATAAAGACACTCGTTCAACCGATTTCTGTAAGTAAAAATTTGTTTGTGGTATGAAAGGTATATAAGCTGAACTTTGAGGAGTGCTTTGGGAATCGGGATATGAAAAAAAAAATCAAAAAATATCAATCAAAAAACCGAAAAAATCCTCTCAAAATTAATCAAAAAACCCAAAAAGGGTCTTTCTGAATCAACAAAAAGGATCTTAAAATATCCATCGAAACGGTGGAATTCAGCTAAAACACATCAGATACTTTGTAAACGTTTGATCTATCTTAAATGTCTAGCTGCTCGACGTAAATCATGGGTCTTACCACCAAGGCAGACCTCATTGGGAATTATGAGTCTCTAAAGGGTATTCATAGCATTTTATCCATCCAACTAATGCGAGCTCAAACTATAACTTAGGGGTTATTTGATTGGTTTTCCATTGAATCTTATATGGATAAATCTATCTGAATGGATTGGAAGGGGTTTTGTTTGGGAGAGTTTTTTTTTTTCATGGATAGAAGGAATGCATTCTTTTAATTGATAGAGGATGTTTAGAAACATCTGGCTCTCCGCATAAAGCTCCCCCTCAAGAACCTTATCGAATAAGTTACTTTCTATATCATTAAGTCACCACCAAATAGTCATATTTAACCGAATAAACTACGAGTCTCAATAAGCTCGTTAAGTTGTTGACAACTATAGCTTTAATAAATTCAATACACATGGGTAGGGTAGGGTAGGGTAGGGTAGGGTAGGGTAGGGCAGGGCAGGGTAAGGTGGGGGACCCTTTTTAAAGTTAAAAATGGTGAAAAACATAAAGGGAATTAAATTTAATACATTATTGCTTCCAAGTTCCAAGTACAAGAGTAAGTAAAGAGCATGACTTATTTCACAAGTACAAACCTGTAACCACCATACAGACACATCCATTGGACCTTATTTTAACCATACACCAAACCACTTAACCACCATAGCCACAACAAATTTCAAGCTTATATTCCCAAATGCTCATCATTTGTGTTCTGCAAAAAAAACCCATCAAATTGACCATATTATACATGCATTCAGCCCAAAAAGATTGCATAAAACTTCATAAATTTAACTGCTTTTGAGATCTTTATTTGTTGGCAAGAAACAACACACCTTTTTCTTTCTCAAGAAGATGATGATTGTAGCAGATTTTGAATGTCTTTCTGTTTAGAGTTAAAAAAAAAAGCAATTCAAGAAGTTAGTAACCGATGATCTTAAAAACCAAAATGGAAATATGTGCGGTTTTTCTTTACGCTAACCTCGATTTCAAGAGGTGGGGTCCGAGGGCCATATCTTTCGATAACCTTCCCTTCTTTGTTCACCAAGAACTTGGTGAAGTTCCATTTGATGCCATCAACCAAGAAACCACCTTTCTCTGATTTTAAGAACTTGTAGAGGGGTGCTGCATTGTTTCCGTTTACTTCAATCTGCAACAACGCAAGAACGTTTTACCTTAAAATTTATGAATTCCACCCTCTGGGTAAGGTTCAGGGGAAAACCGCAAAAATATATGAGGAACACCCTGATAACCATTCGTCTCCACAGTATCATGTTTATACAAGTAATTTGTAAATAATTTGTCCGGTATGCACATGTGCATAAAAAACAAGAAACAACATCAATTACTTATATGCACATGTGCATATCGTGGATAAATGGTTACCAAGATGTTTCATCAGTTTTTCAATTTTTGGGGGTATTCTCTGAACCTCTATCCAATACAAAATTGCAACAATTTTTGGCAATTTTGAAGCTAAAATTACCTATAGTTGCCCCCAAGTCATTGTTAGTTTTCATTCCTATAGGAAAATAGAAAACTTCACTACTTTTTCATGATGAAAGGGTATTTTAGGCATTTGATAAATAGTTAGAGATCTTCCATCACCACATATACAAACTCAAATTCCTTTTTGGGTAACCGTGGGTTCAACTAATCCTATGGATCCCAAAAGATAACAGTCAGCAAAATCCCCAGTAGCCTTGACGAGACTCGAACTATAGCCTCAACGCCTAGCATTTATTTTCTACAAAATTAAATAGACTTAGATCAAGCCATCAAAGATAGCCTCACAAAATGTGGACCACGGGGCCATGAGGTCCCCGCCAATAAACCTTTTTTTTAGATCAAGCCATCAAAGATTACCTTATCAAATATTGGGAACTCCGCTTTGAAATTCGTGCATACCGTCTCCTGAATTTCTTCATTTGTTCCCGGTTCTTGCCAAAGAAATTGGTTGCAAGGAAAAGCCAAGATTTCAAAATCTGCACACAAAATGAAAGCCAAATAATCAGAACCATGAAACCCTTAAATAAGTAAAAAGTAAATATAAATCGATTTCATGCACGATATTATAAAACGCACCTTGATTTTTGTATTTTTGGTATAATATGTTCAATTCTTTGTAGTTTGACTCTGTTAATCCACTGTTGAAATAGCCAAAATGATAGTATGTTATAAGCATCATATAATATACGATCATGAGCTGCTACTCAAACCAACACGCGAGTTTTATAGACCAAATCGACAAACAGAAATGCTGCTAATTGAGCCTAGTCTCCACTCTTTCTCATAATTACAGTTGACTTTTGAATTTTGAAATTTATAAGTCAACCTTAGACTTTCCAAATTCTAAATTAGCATTAGTTTTTTTTTTATATATTTGAGTCCAAATCTGTTTCGCAGCATAACGCTTTTTATAGATTAACACACTTATCACATCTTTCTCTATTACAAGAACAAATTTTATTGATTTTGAAGTTAAAAGTCAATCCATTTTGACCCTTAAAGGTCAAAACCGGACTCTAATCATGAGACACAAGCGAGGGTATAGAAGAAAAGGGGGAAATTGTCTAAAATAGCTATTCCGGACTCCACAATTCATTTTATAGCAACTTTTCTACTCAATCTACCAAAATAGCCAAGATTTCTTAAAGCAACAACTTTAGCAATTGGGAAATCTAATTTTTATGAATTTAATATTCATAAATTAACTTTTTAGCAAGTTGCTAAAGTGCTACTTTTGAAAAGCTAACATGGCTAGTAGCAATTTAGCAAGTTGGGTAACTAGCACTTTAACACTTCTGCAAGTCATTTCACAAGTAGTACTTTAGCAACTTGTGAAATTGCTACTTTAAGAATATTATATTCATAAAAAGTGGATTTTGCAAGTTGCTAAAGTGCTACTTCCGAAATCTCGGATATTTCGGTCAGTTATGTGAAAAAAGGGCTACAAAGTGAAATGGGGGGTCAAAAAAATAGCTATTTTGGGCAATTTCCCGGAGAAAAAGTATTGATGACCCATCTTTCACATTCAAATCTGACATACGATTCTTTAACGTTTTCTATATCCAAAACATGATTTAATGTGTTATCGACTTCTTCTATGATTTCAGAACCAAAAGATTACTTATTTACCATTCAAAAAGTCAAAAATGTGGACTCTTTTAAAATGAAGGTTGTGATAATAATAGTCTTGCAGCTGCCGTACATAATAAATAAACCAAGTGATATTGATACTTTCAACCACCAACTGTTTGTTTCAATTGTATACATCAATGAGGAACATGACAACAATAAATGATGAAGAAACTGATGAAAGATATTGAAGTTGTTTATTCAATAGCTACTCAAAATTCTATTTATTTTCAATTTCTTTCTTTTTTGGAAGGGTATCCAAGGCTATGCACTAATCCTGGCAAAGTCGACTGTAAGACATCAACTCAGATAAACTCAGCGGACGCCTGGAATCGAACCCAAGGCAGATGGGATATTCCACCACATCCCCTCGGCCTCAATCGCTGTGCCACAACCCTTGTGGTTATTTTTCAATATCTTTTGCAGGTTCTATCATTCATAAATCGAAAGAAAATTGTAATGCATAAACTTATCACCTAAATCAAGAATTGCTATACAAAGACTATGAATCATCAATCAAATTGAATCGAAATATGCTTCAACTATTTGTTGACTAATTTACATCCTTTTTGAACCATCAGAGCATCTCCAACAGCTATGCTATAATTTTTCTAAAATAGAGTATAAAAAAGTTAAAATCTCTAAAAGACATTTAACTCCAACAGCTACTCTATTTTTTAGTTATATTACTAAAATATTTAGTGCTTTGATAAAACTTAAACACTTAATTTTAATGCCTCCTACTGGTGAGAAAGAATTAAATATTATTTCTCTCTTAATATGGAATTTTAGAGATTTCTCTCCGAATTTGGAGATTTCTCGCATCTCTCTTTTTTTCTCTATTTTAGCATATGGTATAGCATAGCTGTTGGAGCAAAAATATACCTTAAATCTCCAGGATCTCTATTTTAGCATAGCTGTTGGAGATGCTCTGATATGTGACTTTCCACAAGATTCTTATGAGGGCAATTCAATAATCATCCTAGTGATTCTAAACCGAAATATGTACCGTATTACACAACACAAAAAGGGTTTCTCTTTAATGGCTACTAGCAAGTTTCAAATCAATGAACTCTACAATACCCGCAAACATAGTTCACAATAACATGGTCAAGTATATTTTCTAGAATCGTCTGCAAATAACGGATTCTTCCAATGTATCATTTTAGGGTCCAAGGGAATTCATAGGTTTTTGTTCAGCATTCAAAGCATAACAGAGAATTGAGCTAATTTGAAGCATAATGGAAGTTACATATATATACCATTTTGATGCAACATTGACGATCAAAAGAACCTTCCCCTTGTAAGAGCTCAAGGGCACTTCGTTTCCGCGGATATCCTGAATCATAGATTTCATCACAAACTTTAAATGCAACCCATAAAATTTAATAACAAATTGCATCAAAATATATCAAAGGGGGAAACAGAGGGATAAATTTTGACTTTATAGAGTTCAAATCTGGTGATTTCGAGTTCAAAATTGATTTGGATCTTGTAATTGAACTAAGGGTCCGTTTGTTGGGAGCTTAAAGAGACTCTAAGCTTATTCAGTCAGCTATACATATCTATTTAGTAGTGGCTTAATGATATCGAAAGTGGCTTATTACAAACCCTGCTAAACAAAAACTTCTAGATCTATGTAGACAGATTAATCCAACCAAATAGCCTCTAAACCTAACTGCATTGATAGATGACGCCTGTTATAGAGTTCAAACCTATTATCATATACTCTTCAAATCGAAAGGAATTCGTCTTCAATTTTCAAGTTGAAATTTAGTTGGTCTGAACTTCGTAACCAAAAGAATAACGAATTGTTCGAAGTTGGTAGAGAAGATGGAAAAACATTAAACACCCAAAATCAAAAATCGTAAATTGAGAACAATCCATATGGAGGATCTTCAGATTCTGATAGTGAATCGGATTGATTACCTTAACTGTGAAGTCGTGAACGGATTTGGAGATTTCTTGCGCCATGTTTAAAGTGAGGGGAGAAGATGGGTGTCTGTAAAACAAGAAGAAGGCGAGACCAACGAGAAGAAAAGGCGTCAAATTCGCGACTGTCGTAGACGCCATTGATGGTGAGATGGCGTGCGCTCTTTTATAGACAAAAAGTTCATATAATTCGATTGATAAGTCTACTCGTGTGGGCGTTTCCATATAATATATCGTTTTACAATATATATGTATATAAATAGTGAAAAATAATTTATAAATTGCATGAAAAAATAATGTATTTTAATTTGATTTTTATTTTAATTGATATATTTTTAAAAAAATTATTTTTGTATTTAAGATGTAAAATTTTTAATATTTAAGTATCCGGATAACCGGTTGAAGCATGCAATGTAATTTTTTTTGTTAAAATAATGTAAAATAACCGATTTTTGAAAGTATAATGGTTTAATTATTAAAAAAATGTTCAGGGATTTAGCTAATCAAAAAAAGAAAGTTTAATGATTTTTTCATTCAAAAAAATGTTTAATGATTTTTCATTCAAAAAAAATAGTTCAAAAACTTAATCATTTAAAATGAAAAAGTTTAATAGTTTTTTTATTAAAAAATTGTTTAGAGACTAAACCATTCAAATTCAAAAAGTTGGTTGATTTTTTTTTTCTATATAAATAAAACAAAATATTTTTTTAACTCTTAGGTTAATGATTGTTTATGGGAGAGTTTCTAATATTTATAATTACTATAATGATACTTGTGTAAAGTAGTGAGATACATCTTGATTTTAATATTTTATTTTATTCTTTATCTCAGTCGATGTTATAATATGGTCTTATGTGATTTTGAAAAAGTGATAATGTTTTTATTTTTCAATAAAATATAAATTTGAAAATATCATAAAAATTTGACAAAAATATATCAAACTTAGTATTATTAGTATCAAATTAACTATTTAAAATTATTCATTTTTTGTGTAATTTTTTAATTCATTTTTTTATTATAATTTAATTTAGGTTCAACAACGAAGTAATTTATATTTGGTTTAATAATATAATTTTCTTATAAATATAATAATTAATTATTTTGTTAGAACTCGATAATTATCTTAATTATATATTAGATTTTTTATATTTTAAAATGAAATGTTTATCCTTCATTTGATTATGTTTATCCGTAGTTAGTTACACGAATTCAAATATGAAGAATTAATAAGTCGTACTTATGCATAATTTACTTGTAATCTTGAATTTTAAGTAATATGCATCAATATACAGTACTTCGTGCATAAAAAATAGTTTTAAGAGTTTTTGTCACATGCTTTATAATATAGTATAGATACATCGATTTAAATAAAAATATTAAATACCGTAAAACGTTAAATAGTTTATGTGTAAATAAACCAAAAGAATTTATTTAAAGATATATATGTTACTCTGTATAAATCGTTGTACTTGGTATAGTCTTTATAACGTCTCGGTATCTTTGTTGGCTAAGGTTAGTTTCGTCCAACCAAAATTTGATCATGCTTAACTCGTGTTATTTATTTATATATCAAACTTTTTGTCTTCTTATAGTTGGATCTCCAAAAGCTCTATTTGGCCCTGTCATTCTATGAGTCTCTTTCCTTTTGCGTAAGGGGCATGATGACTTGACGTCATACTCGCTTCCCTCTGGCACGAAGTTACCACCAGTATGCGACTGATGCACGATTTTTTCGGGATTGGAGGAATTGTCTCATACGGTGTATTTTCCATGTTCATAGGAGTGCATCTATGTTTCTGCTTTACGGGAGTGAAATAGAAAATGAAGTCGGAAGCTCCCAAGTAGTGGTAGGAGCCACTTTTTAGTTATTCGGAGAACCCAAGTACTCTCTTTCGGACTCTGGAAATGACTCTCTATGGAATATATGACAAAAGTGGAGTGTTGGGAGTATTTCTACTGATCGGTCATGTCAAGATTCGTTGCTAGTGACCCTGATTCAACTTAATTCTTATTTGAACAAGTAAAAGTTTCGTCCAAAATGGTAATGGGCTTAGGTTATGAACTTATAATCTATAACATGATGATCGAGTCAATTATTGATAGAGAATCAAAGTGGATTTTCCAATAAATTACGAAATGCTATAATTTCGTGTGGAGGTAAAAAGCCCACGGGTTGTGAACTTCTTTTCCCGGAGAAGAAGCAATGACGGTATCTGAGGAATAAGTATCAGTTAATTTTGTGCCAACAGCTGTGGTAATACAAAGGATGCAAGTGTTATCTGAAATGATTGGAAGTAAAGCATCTGTAGGTAGTCTTTTAAGTGTATGCATTATTAGGCCAACATGTGTATGGGAATTAATTGATATGCTATTTGACGTCGGTTTCTGAAGTAGGGGGTATACACCACTATTCGAGCATCCTCCTGCATCGATCTTATAATTATAATTGCGTGTATTGGGAGGGGGGGTCATGATGCCCTAGAGACAGATGGATGGTATCCGGATTCAGATATGATACTTTATTATGGATTTTCACCTTCTTATCGATATGACAATTCAGCGGGGATATAATCATTCTATGTAAGTCATCAGTATTATGCCTTTAAGTCGAGAAACCTTTTTTTTACACATATATATACACTATTTCTAAATAATTTAAGTAAATGGAGCGTATTTTAAAACACAGATACAAGCAAGACGTTTACAACAATTGAAATTGATATGTTTTTTTTTTTTTTTTTTGAAATGGGTATCCGAGCCAATGCTCGACTAATCCCAGGCACATCCAGGGCTAAAGCATGCCCCTTTAGTAAATGTCGCACATGATGTGTGAAGAGGGGTTCGAGCCTGGGTTCAGCGCTATGAACTGCCCAGGCACTAACCACTCCACCACAACACTGAACCATCACGAACATAATCATAAAAGTTCTCAAACATAACTGAACCACACTAATTGGTTATTTAAAACAACTTATATTTTTGTTTATAAAAGTATTTATCAACTTATCATAAGTTATAAGGGTTTAACTTCTTCAAAAACTCTTTATTACCGGTTTGAAACCTGTATAAGTTGTTTATCCAAACACTTAAAAATGTTTATTATCGATATCATACCAGAATAAATCAATAAATTATTTTTATAAGCAATCTCAAAAACCCTTTAATTTTCCGGTAACAAATTATTAAACAAGTGACACAACTAAACTAATATTAAAATTTATGTTAACGGCTATTAAAGCGAGAAAGTCGAAACCACCACCTCACTCTTTCGCGGGCAGCTTTCTCTACAATGGCTTCCACATACACACCGCCACCAAAACCCTAACAACTCCGCCGCCGGCATCGACTACGGTGAGAAACGAGCACGTCACTCTTCTGTGGACACCGTCTCACTCCACAATGGCTTCACCATCCACAAACCCTAGCAATTCTCCCACCGGCATGAAACCTGCGCCGGAGGACGAGTACCTCTCCAATTGTACTCACCTATCTCGTCAACAAATCATCAGGCGACGGTCCTACAACATGAAACAGCTTGCTAAGTGTTACCGCCACCATTACTGGGGATTAATGGAGGAACTTAGGGTTCGGTACAGGGAGTATGTATGGAAATTCGGTATGAGTCCGTTCCAAGAGGAGCATAATGAAGAGGAGAAAGTTAATGTTAAAGAGGAGCAGGTTACGGACGGAATTGATGAAGCGATCGGCGCAGCGGGCAATGGAAATGGCAGCAACAATAGTTTGTTGTGTGTTTTCCATGGGTGTAAACTGAAGGCCATGACTTTGACCAATTTTTGTCAGTTACATATTCTATCGGATCCGAAGCAACAGCTATATAAGCCATGCGACTATGTCATCAAGAGGTTCGCACCCTTCTGTTACACACACTCATGATCAAATTCACAATTACTCAAAAAAATTAGGTTATCGGATTTTTGATGTACATAAGATTTATTTCTTGATCGTCATTTATGAAGATTGATTAATTTTTGCATATATGTTATGTATGAACCTTTTTGTATTGATCTGTTGGCTTTAGAGAACTTTTGTGATCCCATAAACCAACTACAATTGCCCCATTTCGACTTAGCTAGATGATGAATGGGAAGTAGGGTACAAATATGCTCCTAGATATTACTTCAGCGAAAATTAAAATTTTGCTCAATCGGCATCAAGGGATGCAATTTTTATCCTCTAATGTTGTATGAATCTTTAATTGGTTATATAGTCTATAGGTGCAGGGCCATTAGTTTTCCTTTTAACATACTTATAAATGTTTAATTCTGTCTGGGAAGCCTGGATTACACCTGTTTTTCAAATTTATGAAGCATTTGGCTGTTGTCAATGCTTTTGCTCATCTCTAGATGCCTTTCTTTTTGTTAAGATTGAAATTTTTGAATTTTGAATTATGAGCACCTTTCTCTGATTCCATCAAAAGAGGTTTGGTTCATTTCTGAACTTTGTTTTGTTATTTTGGCACCCATTAGAGCATGAATATAAGATAACTTCTTTGGCTATTTCCGTGTACACTATGTAGGTATAATTGCATGGGATCGGTCTGTTTATTTAGAAATATACAACCTTGTAACTATGTTCTTTGTTTCTTGTTTAAGACCTTATTGAACTTCTTTACATGAAATCCACAAGTCACTTTTTTAATTGCGAGGGACAGGTTTGGCAAAAACTCTGCTTTTTGCATAAAGCTTCCCCCCTAAAAGCTTACTGAAGAAGCCACTTTCTATATCGTTAAACCACTACCAAACAGTCATGTATAGCTGACCAAATAAGTTGTGAGGCCCATTAAGCTTATTAAGCCGCTAACAAACAGACCCTAACTCGGGTACTGCTGGGCCAGTGACCCTTTGGGTTATCTTTATCTATTTGTAGGTATGGTAAATTGGTAATCCTTTATCTTGATCAATTACCATTCTAACAAGGGTTACCTTTTCTTTCTTTCCGTTTAGTGCACAGACAGGACCAATAACCTGTGGGAAGCCCATACTGCGCTCAATTGTCCCTTGTCTCTGCCACCTTCACTTCCAGAAAGCTCAGCAACATGTCAGCCGTGCCTTAAAGAAGGCTGGTCTAAACATCGTTAATACAAATAAGGTTGTACCAAAGTTCCATGTTGTAGTGACGGAATACGTTCGCATAATTCAGGACAGAAGGAAGAATGCTTCAAGGGCAAATAGGAAAAACGTCATGCCTAAGCTTGAAATCGATAACTAACTCCCTCTTACCTGCAGGTAGTACAATCTGTCCACAAGGGCACTATCACTTTTGCAGTATTTTGTACAAAGTTTAAAGCAGAATCAACCATAGTTCTAAATCAATGTATTGGTGGGTGATTTTGCATTTCAGAAGTTTAGGAACAAGGAGATGAAGGTTGCCAATTTGAGGAAAAAAGAAAGTAGTAGTATATAAGAGGTTTAACTCCACCGTGCATATGTATTCGGTTTCGTATGTTTTTTTGATTGTGTATCTAATAGTTAGGGTAGGAATTGTAAAGGGAATGTTTGGTTAGAGGTTGTAAGCCATAATTAACGGGAATGATGTTAAAAGAAACTGTTTGGTTTTAGAGAATATAATGGGTCAATTCTCCTAGAAGCCCAAAATTTTCATTCTAGGCTAAACCTAGAGGAATGGAAATTCATTCCCATTTTCATTCCCCTACCTGAACCAAACACCCTCGGATTCTTGAAATTTAGGGTTGGGTTCGTGATGATATGACCCAAGTTTTAGATTGTGAATTTGATTGTAGGATGATTTATGGCAAACCAAAAGTTTGATGCTTTAAGGGAGCCACAGTCAGGAACGGAATGGAGTATTCTGGCAGAATGGGAATATGGAAAAGGAACGGAATGGAATGGAGGACTGCAAATCAAGGAACAGAATGAGGAATAGAATGGAAACAAAGGAAGAGGAATGGAATGGAGTATTGAATTATGAAAGAATGGAAAAGAGGAATGCTTTGCTTGGGATGGACCAAAGGTGACAATTCTTAAATCTTGTGTGGACTATAAAATTTTAGAGTAAACTACACTTTTGGTCCTTGTGGTTTGTTGGAAATTACGGATTTGGTTCTTGTAGTTCATTTGCTACACTGGTCATTTCATTACAGATTTAGTTAAGCCAGGGTCGTTTTGGTCTTCTTTACATTTTTTATTATCAAATTAAAAATACTTTGCGCTCCATGGCACATGGTGATAAGTGGTACCTGATTGGCTTGAACTTGACTCTAAAGGTCAAAAATATCATAAGGTCTCAGGTTCAAATATAAGGAGGAATAAAAATTCTCTTATGGCCACAGAGGTTCAAATGCGGTGACTCCGGGCTATCTGTAAAGCAGGTGGCCACCCTGGGATTAGTCGGCTCGCATAGCGAGTTGGATATCTAGGTTAATAAAAAAAAATCCTCCTTTTCCTGTTATGGTGGCAAGAATTTTTTGGGATGAATATGGTATGGTATCATGTTTTTTTTTAAATACTGTATATTTGAAATTTTATATCATGTATTAGTCAATTATACTTGATACCAATTAAATTAGCATCAATTTTTTTTTGTTGGTACATGTTGATACGGTTTCGTACCAACTAAAAGTTGAAGTTATAAGTTTATTGACAATATCATCTTTACCACCTGGATTTAAATACATTAAAACCACTGAATATCCAAATAATATGTTGATAAGTATTGTATCATTTATCGTTACATGTACAGACATTCAAATAATTTTCATATACTCATGCTTCATTAGTAATCCAATACAAACGAACACTGAAAGCAATGATGGACTGTTGAGGTGTAAACGAGTTTCTAAGGCTGTCAAAGAGTTGGACGAATGGATTTATTCAAGTTCTATTTATTCATCCATTTTGTAATTTAGCAAAATAGAAAATAAGAACATTTCAATTTTAAAATCAAAATATATTATCTGTTTATCAAATATTTACTTGAGTAAGTGTTTACCAAGTTATATTACCTTAGTAGATGAATATGATAAAAGACCAAAAATCTAACCTGGTAAGAACGAAAAAAAGATCGAGAGTCTTACCCAGTAAGTGAGGGCAATGACTCTTACCACAATCAGCTTTTATCAGGTAAATTGTTGCATAGAAAGCCGTTTTTGTTGACTAAAATCTTACCCGATTAGTAAATAATAACATTGAATTTTATTGATAAGTGCTTACCGAGCAAGTGTTTGATAAATGACCCCTAAACTTTAATTAATAAATAATTAAAACGACAATACACAAAGGCTTTTTCCATGTTTCTTTCTTCTGAGAGTTGAGAAAGAACGAGCAGGTGTAAGAAACAAATAACTCATCCTGTCTACATACTAATTCCAAAATTCAAAATGGTAAATAATGCAATATCACCATTTGTAAAAAATAAAGAGGAAAAAGCGGTCAAAAAGTTCAAAAGAAAGACAAAGGTCGCACATGGCATTTGCAATCCAGTGCCAGAATGCTCTAACAGGTACTAACCGACTGGTCCCAACCGGTTCGATCCCTATAACCTATAGAACCAAAGAAAGAGCAAGTGTACCTCGTTCTGGTGAAATTGACCAAAATAGTAAATCTCGTCAACCAAATTCATTTTTTAACCACTTTTCAATGCCTTTTCGCATAATAGCTAAATTTTGCGCAGAAATTTGAATCCTCAGGCAGAAATCTGATTTCTCACAAAGAAAAGAAGTAAAGGAAAAAAAACGCAGAAATTTGAATCTTTACGCAGAAAGTGAAAAGTAGAAAGTTTAAGCAGAAAGGGGTTTCTGCATAAGGCTTGTTTTCGGAATCTATTTTTTTAGGCCGAAATCTATCCTTACGCATAATGCGTAAAGGTTCTGCATAAACTATAGCTATTTGGGAAAGTGAGTTCCTGACATGACTAAAAAGTGAATTGACTTTGATGGATTGACTATTTTTGTTCAATTTCTCCTCATTTGGTCATCAACATCAGTATTAGATTCCACAAAAAGGCACCAGTGACTGATTGTTAGTATATATAGCTTGTACAATTCTTTCTGACCATATACATAGAATAGCACAAACACCTTCCAGGACCTACTTTCCATTAGGATCTATTGGGTTCGTTTAATTTGGTTTATAACAAATTATAACTAAACTTGAGCTAGCATGTATTAACTTTGTTACAGATTTAGAACTTGTTTGTTCTCGGTAAGAGAAGAAAGACCAAACCAAACAAACCCAATTTGTCCCACCCGGAGGTGGGGTCTGCCTGCTTGGGAGAAGATAAGATGTACGCAAACCTGACCTCTACTCAAAAGAGTAGAGTGAGTGTTTACATGAAGACCCCCAACTTGTGAAAAGTGTGTGAAAACGAGAATTGTAGATATGCAAAAATATTAACAAATAGAAGCAGGTACATGAGACATAAGCAAGGGGAAAAAAATGCACACCCTTAGTCCAACTCTCCCCTAACACTATAGCCTTGTCCCTAACCCACTACCTCTCTTGCCAGAGACTGGCTTAGAAATTTTTTCAAGTGGTGGCACCAATTAACTATAAGAAATATTTAGAGGGATATTTTTTATAAAATCATTCTTGGTCTGCTTGGTAGTTTATTGTTTTTCATATGTGAGGTCTTGCATTCAAGTCTTTTATTGCAATTTTTTTTCCATAAACATAATAAAATTGAAATTAAAAGCTAAAAACTAAGAAAATGACATTAACGGGATCCGAACTCGGGTTTGGGAAGGAAAAAAAGCCTTGCAAACCAACTCTACCAGGAGAAACTTGTGTCCTCATTGTAGTTTCAAAATACATACGGTGGCACTTTTCATGACTCTATAATTTTTTACACTACGACGGAGGAATGAAACAATGACCCGTGCCACCATATGGACCACCTTGGTCTGTCCCTGTCTCCAGCTCCCTTCCACCCGACTACGCTAGCTATAGCTCCACACCCCTAGCCACCTACCCTAATCCTACGTCTCCAAGAGCTCCTATTTGAGACCAAGTCCATGGAAATACCTAAAGCTGCTTGGCAAGAGACTAATGTTCAATAATGATTAAATCCCCTCGTTCGATGTAATAAATAACTTACGATAAAAAAAATCAACGAGTAAGAAGATGCAATCCAATTAAGCAATAATAATCAGGAGAGAATCAAACCTTGCAAAGAACATATTAGGTGGTGAACTGAGAGAAGTGACACAATAAATGTACAAAAAGGGTCTTCCATGATAACATCTGGTTCTCCTAATGATCATTGAACATCTGCAGAAAGATTGGGAAATAATTGAAACAGCAAGAAAAAATATATATATATAATAAAAAAGGAAGAAACCTACAGAGGTGGGCAGAAGCACTGTGGAAAACTCTGTAAACTGAAATTGATGCTACCAACTTGTATTGGATGACATGCTCTGCGTAGAAGAACGAGTTCTACTTCCTGTTGTTGTCTTCTTGTCGATTCTTCTCACTTTAACCATCCCACCGGCCCTCCATCACCTACCTCTCACTCTTGTAATCCCGTCCTTCTTTGATAAGAATCGATACAATTTTGATAAGGCTCTTCGTCCAAATGAAATCCAATGGGATCAAGAGAGACCATCCATGTCTTCATCCACAGGCTCCCAGCTACCCGTAGGACAGATAGAAAGTTCGATTCTATCTGAGCTACTCATTTTCAAACGATACCCACATTGTTCACAAAGATTCATTTTGGAAATTGCAGGTCAGAATACTATAGGCTGGCTCACTCATTTAAATCCAAAGTGGCACAGCCCACTTTCTTCTTCTCTACTTATCTTCACATATAACTTTTTCCATGATGTGAATGTAAAATAACTATTATTAGTAAAAAAGTTTACCTTTCCATGCATTAAAATGTTTCCACACATCTTGTCCTCTCAATGTTAAAACTGTCGTCATTATTTTCCATTTACATAATAATGAACACAAAAGAAAGTTAAAGAAAACATACTCCTTCCAAGATCATCTCTCGTATCTCCACCCCTATCAGATGAATTGATCCATTAATTATACAATGCATGGATATATATAGAGAGCCGGGTTCATACGAGAATGGTACCTATTTAAGAAAATAAGAGAATGGCCGAATCACATGTGACTTTACACTAACATTACGTACAAAGTCACATGTGATTCACGCAACCTTGCCACGCGGCCATAGGGTCGCAGCACACTTTTTTGGCCATTAATGTAAAATCACATGTGATTTTGTACGTAATTTGGTTATTTTCTTAAATCTTAAATAGGTATCATTCTCGTATGAACCTACCCCTCTCTCTCTCTCTCTCTCTCTCTCTATATATATATATATATATATGAGCATATTCTTTTATTTATGAGTTGATCCTCTCTCCGTTAATGGTCTAATTTGATCCAAGTGACTACAAAATGTTAAGACATGTCCATCCATGAGCTAGAACCTATATATAAATAAACTAATCTGGTTCTTTTTCATACTAAATCTGTGTACCTGTGCTTTTACATGTGCTCATCAATAGGATTAGGGAAACAGTTTGGAATGAATTAATTTATCCCTGCTTCAAATATCACAAAATTATTTGTAGCTTGTATTTAAGCAAATTGCACACCATAAAAGATTAGAAGGTGGTTCAAGGTTTCAAAGGCATCAGATAACAAATCTCTCTCAAGTAAAGTTCTTTGCATTACTGAAACAAATATCTCTATATGTTCACAAGCTAACAAAAACCAATTCAAGCAATGTACAAAGGCATTTATCAGAATGAAGCAGCAGCTATTATAAACTCCCTTCCACACAAGAAATCACCACTGTCATATAAAAATGCATGGCTTTATATAATGAATGAAAAAGATGAATTCTTACATCATGGGGCAAGCTTCCATTTTTTAAACCTGCTTACAAGGGACTCTATAGATTTTTGTATCCTGGAGCTTTCTGTTTGTTCCACTGCTTGTGATGCTTGGTGTAAGCTTTCAATCCCACGACCCAAACAAGCAATTGAGGGTGCTGCAGGAAGAGATTCAATGGCACATTCAATACCATCACCATATACCAGCAAGCTTGTGCAAGTAGCCACACTGCACCCAAAAGTAACCCATGGAAGCACCCCAATTGGACGAACCCGCCGTTTCCTCATTATTTCATAGAAAGCTGATCTCATAGCTGAAAGACTCGTCTTTTCAGCAGATGCTATTACACTGTGAACTACAGTTCTAATCTTCTCTGCAGAAGCAGCTGCCTTCATGGAAGATGTAGTATTTAGTCCAGAATTGAACATGCTAGGGGCTATGACTTTAGATGGACCAAGAAACTTGCTAATCGATATAGAAACGAGCTTTTGGGTCTGTGTCATTATCAGTTTAAGAGAAGCTGGAACTTTAAAAGTAACCACTTTTATAAAGGTTGATGCTGGAACAACTTTAGAAAGAGATGAAGCTCCTAATACTGCTGTTGCTCCTGCCCCAACCGCTACTACCGGTTTATTTGTTAATCTTCGTTTTTTGTCACTCTGATTGGTGGTTTCCCCGTCCTTTCCAGTCTCATCGATCAGCTCTTCGACTGTGTTCTTGACCTCTGGAGGAACTGCAGTGTTCCAGTGTTTCCTTAGACCGGCTAAGGTGCTGGCATCTATAATTGCCACTACAGACTTGAAGTTCTTTGTCTGACTACGAAGCGCATGTGCAAGAAGAGCATGTGACTGCTCTTCATGAGGGAGAGAAGAAAACTCCATTTTAGGTGATTGACGATTTCCAGTTTTGCTGATAGGCATCCGACCAGCATTGTTAAGAGCAATCCTTAAGCCCTCAACCGCAACTCGAAATGCATATATTTCCGAGAGAAGTCGAGTGTCAATAGTGTCTCCCTTGCTCACATCATGAAGCATCTTCTGGGCATAACCTAGAGCCCTTTCGATTGCAGGTATTTCTACAAATATGTTACGCAAATCTTCAAGTAAGGGATAAACAGAACGAGCATACTGTGGGACCTCATAATCATCTTTTGGCTGAATATTTACAGGACCCATATTCTGATCAGAACTTAATTGAACCAAATGAGAGCATAATGACTTCAACATCTGAGAACGAACATGATCATCAGAAATAAGATATCTACTCGTACTTGATGAAACCATAGAACCCACTTTCTGTGGCATCAAGTTACTAGGCTGTAAACCAAAACCTTGAAAATTGTTACCCGACTCAATCTCACTTGACGGATCGCTTTGGCTTTCCAGTTTCACAAAAGGAGATTCAAGCAGCAAAAATGAAGAACCAACTTCTTCAGCCATCCTTTTCGCAGCCAAAAAATGACCATTAAATCCAACACCGAAAATCTCCTTCAAAACCAAACTCCCAGCCACATCTTCATACTTGTCTTTACCAATCTTATGAAGAAAACACCTCATAAGTACTTCCAATGAAGAAGTCGGAATCGAATGTTCACCATCACCACCATTATCACCTAACAATTGAACATCATCGAACTCAGCATCATTCACTTGAGCCACAACTGCTCCTGGCCTAACACATCTAACCAAACGTTCAGCATCCACAGCCGATCTCTCAGATAAATTCTGAGCACAGAGTATATATATCACCGCCTGTGATTCCGGTTCCCGAATCGCAAACACAAACCTCTTCGTCTCATCTGGTATCTCCAATCCCCTCACCAATCCATCAGATACTCGCAAATCATCATCTCTAGACGTCGCAAACGGCCATAAACGTTGTACGTAATACAAAATTCCCGTGGCCATCATTTAAAACAACAGATATGTAAAATCATACTCAATCTCCGCTAACCTAGTTCTTCATCTTTCATCTCATGCATTAAACAAATCGAATGAACAAAGCTACATAACCAAGCATCAAATTCCACAAGAATCATAAAGAAAAGCTAATCAGTAATCCATGGAAAGGGATTGAAAATCATCAAACAAAGAGCATGACATACCTGATGCGAATCAATCGGGGACGTTAGGGTTTATGATTTCTACGAGTAGAACGAATACTCTTGAAAAATCACGAAAGATATGTAACGATTGTTATCGTTTAATTCCTTTCTTTCTACTTTGTATTGCATTTATAGAAAGAAGTTTATTTATATGATACCGTGTAAAATGAAATATAATTGATTATAATGAAATTGGGTATTGAATGGTTAACGAAGGTTTATCATAAAAAAATTATTCAGAGGATTTTAGAATCATTAAGAAACAGTTTTTTCTTTTGTCAAACAAAATTCATTTTTTAACGATTCAGATGTTGTCTTTTAATGTAACTATTAAGAGGTAAACAAACAACCTCATTGCTTATTTAAAACAACCCATGCCTTTTTTAAAAGCGTTTATCAACTTATGGGGTGTAAACCGGATTTTTATAAAAAGTGTTTGGATTAGCTTACGACGGTATCAAAACATAAAAATTGATAAGCAGTTTTTTAGTGTTTGACAAATTTTGCCTATTCATGTAAAATGACTAAAAATGACATTTTCCCATATAACTACAAGATCTTCAAACCCCACCGTCAAACAGTAGCACATGCAATCGAGAACCATGAAACAAGAAATCGAGAACCATAGAAAGCATATGCAAACATGAAATCTGAGAACTGTGGAAGGCGCATACAAGAAATCGGGAACCATGGAAGCCAGGGGAAGTTGAAACTGAAGAAGCTTAGAAATCAAAGACCATGGAACTCAAAACCATGAAAATCGAAATAAATGAACAGAGATCGTACTTGGGGAAATCGAAATCGAAAACCATATTGAAGTTGGAGGCCATGAAGAATCATGCAGAAGTGCAATAGATCTCTTCGAAGATGCTTGGTAAGTTGATTTGGATCAAGCAGCTTCTGAATTATTAGGTTTCGAGTAACAGATTTGGATGTTCTTGGGCACTCATTTTGGGTTGTTTTGGATCCAATCGAGGAAAACCAATTATTGTTGGTGGATTTTATTAGGTTTAGGGTTAAAAGGGTAATTTGGATTTCAAAGTTGATAAGTTATTTTTGATAAATTAGAAGATAGTAACTTATTAAGAACTCCTTGTTACCAGTTTGGCACCGTATAAACGTTCTTTTTTTTCCTCATCCAAACACTAAAAATGACTTATTACTTACCACACCAGAATAAGTATTTTTTTTCCTTATCCAAACACTAATACGTCCATGAAATAAGCAATCCCAAACACCTAATAATAAGAAGGAAAAAAATGTCCATGAAAGAAAGTAGTGAAATTACTTTTTTACCCTTTCACCCATTTTCCATAAGGTCGTCGGACTAGCCGTAATGGCGCGCGTGACTTAATACGTAATGGCGTGTCGTGACTTACTGGGTGTTCAAAAGGTTCACAAGTGGTATCTTTAAATTTAATCTGTGTTCATAGTAAGTTAAGAAACTATAACAGATCTCTTAGATTTAAAGTGTGTTCACAAACTATAATAGTATTTCTAAGAAATTGTTTTACAATATATTCACTTTAAGTTAATAACTTCATATTTAATTATGTGTATACGTATATATTAAAAATTTGCCGTCATACGTTACGCTATTGACTTTACAACTACTAAAACTTAAGACTTGGTCTCGTCATGACGTCACGTTTTAAACCTTACTATAACACATATCTAAACACTTTAAACATTAGCAAACTTCAATAATTTTGATCATGATTACATGTGATTCAAACATTAATCTCCCAACAACTAATTATCATCAATATTATTTTAAAATCATAAATTATTGATCTTACAATCAAAACAAAATAAAAGAGAACAAAAAATAACGTATTTTAACTTGATTCATATTTTAGGTAATGTACTTTCAAAATTTTAATTTTGGTATTTAAGATGTAAAGTTTTAAATATCATTTAAGTAACCAGGTAACTGGTTGAAGACTAATTTTAAATTAAAAAATTACGATATATCGAATATCACTTACGGGTTGTTTATCCTGGCTTATTCCATATACCGATGTTGACTTAATGGCTTAACAATTAAGCCAAAAAGAAACACTCGTGTATGGTTGAACAATTAAATTCATTAAGTTCATTAAGTTGCAAGTATACAACCCTTTTACCTTACTGGGTGAGCATAACAAGGACATAATTTTACTTAATAAGAGCCATAACAAGGATCAAGAATCGTACACGATAAGTGAGAGAGAAGACTCTTATCCAGTGAACATTTACCAGGTAAAGGATGTTTATCAACAACCCATTTCTATAACCAAAAAATTAACCCGATAAGGTAATTGAAGGTGGTTACTCTTGCCGATAAACGTTTATCATCCCTAAAATCGTCTTTTTCTTCTTCCTGGACTATATTATGACCAAAAACTAGAAACGAAAAACCGAAAGACACACAATAACTCGTTGAGCATACTCTAAAAAGTGAAAATGCAAGGTTAACTCAACTGATAATAAAGTTTGGGTCTTAAATATTTTCCTTAGAGGTCACCATGTTGTTCCTAAGAGTCCTTCGGATTAGCTGAGTTGCACATAAACTGACACGAACACCCACTGTTAACAAAAAGAAAAAGTGAATGTACACAAAGAAGATGATGAAAAGGAAGTTGAAGCTACATGTATTGCTGCTTTTGAAGCCCACATATGGACATGGGAGAAAAACAAACACATCCAAAATTCTTGTAATTCATCCTACATTTACACACAACCAATAACAGAAATTGAACTTATGGATGAATGGTGGTTCTAAAGTAAAAACAATACAAATAAATGTCTCTTCTTAACATATGTATATATGAATATGATGATGATGATGATGATGATGATAGTGAAGTCTCAAAAAAACAGGTGTTTTTCTCTATCTAAACTCGCCATTCGCCTGCTTGTTAGAGGAGTATACTTTTATCCACAATGATCTACGGCATCGTGTCCCCTCCGTAGACTGTAAACGCTTTCTTCTTCTTCTTGTTAAACTGGGAATCTCTTGTTTGTATCCTCACCAAATAGAGCCAGAAAAATACTTCAAAGAAGAACACCTGCATTCACCTTCACACATTATTAAGATATCAATCTTTAGGGTCTGTTTGGTTTGCAGGATTTGAAATTGGATTCCATTCCAATCCCGTGTCTGGTTTAAAGTAAAGTCCGTAATTGAAATCACGGGGTTTTAATGAAATCCCACAAACATTAGATTTAGAAATCCCATGCGGTAGTTGGTATTTCATGAGATTTCATAGGATTTTTTTTGTAATAATGTTTTAAAATATGTTATGTAATAATCAATTAATAAAAAGGAATTTAACTATTATTATAATTATTTATAATTTGTTCTTATAAATTATCTATACAAAACGGAAGTCAATTCCATTCCAAATCCTATAAACCAAATCCTTCCATGAAAACCAAATCCCTCAAATACACTCCGTCAAACCAAACACCCCTCACGCATTGTCCATTTCTATTATAAGAGGGTTGGAAAAACCTAATCGTGGTTTTCTATAAGTATATATTATATAATATTTATGTATGGCAAATACTTATGTAGGCTTATCATCTTTGATGAGGTTTGAGCTAGACCTCCTCGGATGGGCCCTACTAATAACCTAGGTACCGCTGAGCCAATGACCATCCTGTGAACTAATTTTGTTTATATATCAAATATGAACTCATTGGTTGTAAATTTCATGTTTGTAGAAAAGTATTCATAATCAAAATACATGATATTCACGATGAATAATACATGAAATACATGATATTCCAAGAACATGATTACAGTACCGATGATGACGAAAATGATAACGATTTTTTGCACTAGAGACAAGTATGATACTATATGGATACAATTAAAGAGGTCACACCGTAGTTTGAGAAACTTACTTCATTGTCAATTCAAGTAGGAAGGAGAGGCCGTCTTTCATCAGCTTCTACACGATGACTAGCCTGCAGAAGTAGAATGCAAGAAAAAATAACATGTATTAGAACTTAGAACAACCTTAATAGATCGAAAAATACATAAATCACCGAATATTTTTACCTCCTCATTTGCCCCAGCTGCCATATTTATAAAAGCCGAATCCCTTGAAAAGAAAAAAGAGAGTTCATTTTTAATAACCCAAGAAAAGATTACTTTATGCTACAATATTTAACAACTGATGGTACTAAAGTACCTATGATTGCTCTGAACTGACTCCAACTCCAACACCCCGTTTTCTTCTTCCTTAACTTTTGAAAGAGGCGAAAAGAACTGGAAAAAGAATGAAGCAAAGGGTAAATGAGTAAATCGCTATAAGAAGTTGAACGTATTGAGAGGATAAACTCTTGCTGCCATACCTGATGCATTGAAATGAAAACAATAGAAATTCCTAGCATAAAATTTATAGTCAGAGTGTGACCAAACAAAGCTGCAGACGCAAAGCCTGTGAAGATCGTGGCAACGGTTGACGAGTACTTTTTCAAAATTGTATCTGCACGCCATAAAACCGATGTTTAGATAAGGAAAAAATTATTACTAGGAGATACCCAAAACAAAGAGTTGATGACGAATGTAGCAAATGCAACTTCTCTTAATTACTGATGGAGTTTTATGAGTGCAAGCTTTTGTAGAAGTTAACAATAATCTTGAACATTCTTGTAATCTTACCAGCATATTTGAAGAAAAATGAGGATAAAATTCCTTGGGCTGCATTGTTCACAATCAAAAGCATGGTAGCTTTCGAATGTCCTTGCAAAATATCAAAGCTTTCAGGACCTGAGAAATATAATCATGTAAAAAAAATAAGGTTTTACTGTAGATGGTTAACTCTTAACAAGGATAAATAATATATATCTTTGAGCAGTAAAATCTTGAGGTCCACTCTAAAACCCTATGGATGTCAAAGTTATAATCTAGTTCACTCGACTCTTTCATTTCAAAAGCATTGATTGGTACCAAGATAACATTAAACAAGAATTTACACCATTCGTCCTTGATGGAGATGGATCTAGTAAAAAAGCTGTTAGCCTGATGTGGGGTATGCACACATCAAGATGAACACCATGCCACCAATTTTGTAGAAGGAAGAAGATTACAAATTATCATCAATGACACAGTCAGTACCAATGCAATGTAAAATCAATTTGTCCAATTCAATAGAGATGCAAATTGTGAGATTGGAAATTGAAGCAAATTAGTACCTTTGATAATGACGGTTCCAAGGATCCCTAGGAAGTTGAATATTGCACCATATCCATACAAAAACAAATTCTGCAACTCAGCAATAGGGTAGAAATTTCAGAAGACACAAACATTGATTATGTAGCACTTCTGGTAGACATAGTAGATTTACAGCAGAAAAACACAAGCAAATACACTTAGGAGAAGGAAATCGAACGAAGATCTTATTTTGATGACTTCAATGAATCTCATGAACATGCAATCATCCTCCATTTGTCAGGTTACACAGTATAAGATAGGATCATGCGACATACTATGACGCATGCTGGGTAAGCCATTTTCGTCGAATGTTTCTCTTGTTATATCAGATAAAGCAAACAAAAAACAAACAAATAAAGCAAAAGCAATCTGATTTCGGATATTTCTCATGGCATAAGTTGAAAATGGATCATGTGACTCGAGCATAGATAATGGTCTATAAACAAGTACAGATGAAGTTCGATGAAAGTCCTGGTCAGCACCAACTTTACTTCTTGGTGTATATTGTTAGCCAACAAAAAGGCCAAGCATATAGAAAATGAGTGCCATAGACATGAGATACCAAGATGGGTGTATTATAAAACTAGGAAAGATGCAAACTTTGAGGGAACTCGTTGAGGTGATCAAATGACAACCTCCTAGGAAACCAGGTGAAAGATATCATATGACATGGTCCCAAAACATGAGTAGAACCATGAATTCGTTAATTAAGAAGAGAGATAATAATGAAACAGTTAACAGCACCAAAGTTTGTGGAACACCTAAACAAATGGATAACAAGACCCAAACCACCCTAAGGTAGGATCAAACCAACATATAGGGATCAATGAACATAGTCATCATGCCTAATTTTTACAGAGTGTTATACACTACTGTATTTAAGGATTTCATGTCATGAAGAAGGATCATGTGAGAATAGAAGTTAATGTGAGAAGCATAAGAAGGGATCTAGACCCTTGATCACTTTTAATCTCACCCCCACCCAATGAATTGTGCTTCTCATGGGAATTGATCCAGTGCATCTCATTAGGGTTGATCTTCAATTAGGATTGATCCAAGGGTAGAGATCCATTCTTACCCTTCTCACCATAACTTCCATTCTCACTGGAACCCAACCCTTCATGTCATTGCCCTATAAGGTTGGATGTTGCAGCAAACACGAAGCAATGATAGTATAGCAGCGAGGCAGTTCATGTTCTATGTACAGACAGTACGGTCATAGAAACTGGTGTTCTGATGGTAACCATAGCTCATAAACACACCATGTTCATACTAATGAAGTAACCCAATAAATCATTCCATCTAAAAAAAACCTTGTTCTTGTATGTTTTTTGATGTTCACAAATATTTTACAGTCAGGCCTGTCTGATAGAACTCAAGCTGCAGATCACCATAGGACCCTCTTTCAAGTCACAGAACTAGAGATACCTACAAGGATAGATCTTTGAAACGCAATCTATTGATCTAGTCATCTTAAATATGATGTCTTCAATATATACTGCTTCTACTCGCCATTTATTCTCGCTAATTTTACACAATCATCTTGTCTTCAATAAGTAAAAGAGGATATATTAAAAACAGTTTTGGACATCAAGAGCACGACATACAAAACTTGTTCTCGACTAAAAAGGGAAGGTGATGAAGCAATTTATTGATTATTTTATTAAGATCACCTGCATGTAGATGCTTGTGTCGTATTGACTCTTCAGTGCATATTCATTGAAGACAGATGCCATAGATGGAACCGTCACCTGTAAATTGGAGTCCTCAAGTTAGTTGAATCATACTCTCTTTTGAGAACTAGACTGAGACACCAACTATATCATGACAAAGCATCACACATTTAAGTAGGCTTGAATGCCATGTAGGAATATGTCAACATCAGTCTTCAAGGAATGCTAAAATCAACTTACAAAGATAAATGTGTAGACATATGCACCCATTGCAATTGGAAGACCCATCGAACTAGAGCCCTCAGGTAAGGAACGCATTTGATTTATGCTAATTCCAATAAGCAATAGAGCAAGAGCCTCCCACTGAAACAAAAAAGGGATATTTGGTCAATGATGATTACTAGTTAAAACTAAATAAAAAAGTGAATCCATATGGTGACTGATTTCATGAAAAAGAAGAAAAGAAGAAACCTTTTACAACCTCATAACATACCTGGATTATCGAAAATCGTCGCTTCATCACCATCTTCAATAGAACCGCAATTACCAATACCTGCAAACGTCAGTCGTTATTAGGGTTCAACAAGAAGAGTAACGAACAAACAAACTCAAGACAAGGCGTTTAGTAACGAACAAACAAACTCAAGACAAGGCGTTTAAGTGTGTGTCAAAAGTGCATCTTCCATTTTCTGCAGGAGCACAAAACTGACCATATATATGGACTAAGAAACCTAATTCTGCTGACATACGGCAATTGAAAAAACAGAAGACACATTGTTACAGCTCAAAAGCATTGCTAGATAGGATATATTAATGCAAGGATGAATTTTTTATGTGATTCTAGAAGTAAGGCATGAGTTTGCAGTCCATAAAATAGATACTGGGCATCAGAGGGTCAGCTTAAGAAGTTCAAGCCCTAATGAGTGAATCTCGTGTTCAAGCAGAGGTTGCTCATTCCCTCATTTCATCAAAATATCTTGAGGGCCTTAGTGATGAAGAGGAAGTTTGATAACCACAGGTCAAATTCTAAGACAAAAGTCGATCAAATCATTCAGTTCTTGGACGCTTGTGATAACTTACACAGTAATAAGCACGAGAAACAATGCAACAGATATTTTACCTTCAGATTGCTTAGCATCTTCACAGTTGCAGGGTTAAAATAGAGCTGCACAAAATTTGTCAATATTAGATAATAGGCTCCAAGAAGAAATTCTACACATTGCAAGTGAACTCTTGATTCACACGCAGGTTGACAGTGATCATCACTAAAACGAAACTCAGCCATGTGATGGATATTAAAAAAACATAACCATTGAAGAAATCTTTCATAGGACAAGCAGTTACCTAGCTGGCTAATAATTGCTATGCCATATAGCATGATTTGCTCAACAACTATCAAAAGCTAACAAACATTTTTTGAAATATGCTTCCATCATAAGTCTATGTATCACTACATGGAATAACAAAGTAGATTGAAACTTGTTGACATTGGACCAATCTACACACAAATGTTTAGCCACATGTGGACTGTCCTAAATTTCTGTACAAAGAGGCAAGGCGAGAATAATGCCTGGTGCATATTGCTTAAAGGTTTAACAAGTTAACTCTCCTACAGAGCCTGAAGGAAGGCAAATATGAGCAACAGGACACATATATTGGCATGTTAGTGCATCAAAATCGTTGGAATATATTGTAACTGACAATGAAGCCACCCACTCATGCACATATCTATGCTGTGACATAGTTGAATGGTTACCGGTGGCAAATTCCCAGCCTTGCAAGTTCCTTCTGTCTAGACTAACATGATTACTATATCAAAATTTGCTATTCTCTATTCAAGCACAATTATGTATTTCCAACCAATGTCGAGTTATTTCTTCCACCTAATAACGTCAATATGCTTCATAAGTTAAAGAGAAAGCTCTACACAGTGCTTATAAATAAGTAGAAAAAACATCAGACATCCTTTTGTTTTAACATCATTTTTGTTCTTTGTTGGGTATGGGAATCATAAGCAATACAACCTGGTTGAATCAACCTTTAAAATTGATGAATTCTCTTGTTGAATTACCAAAATGTGTCAATGAGCACCACCCTTGGTCTTCCAAAGATTTCGAGTTTTCACATCAAAACTATAAGGTTAATACTCACAGGCCTGTATCCCCATATCTCAAAACAACTATAAAAGAAAACTGACAGGATATTGTAAAACCGCATAAACATGAAACCATGATGATTTAGAATGTAGCAGATGCGGAAAGTGTCCCTAGGAAATCATTCTGAAACTACATGCTAAAGTTACATCATAGCCATTCCTTCTTCATGCAATTCAATGGTAAAATTTAAACTGTAGCTCCATTTTCAAGTTACCCGATATAACAATTATCAATGTTCTCTAGAAACATTTAATATATCAGAAGAAGTTTACATCAAAAGTACCTGCATGGTGAATTTTAGATAGTTATTAATAGCATAGAGAAATGCTGGAACAGCAAGAAGCACATTGTTGCGAGCTGCCTGCAAAAAAACCTGACATACATCAAAACTTGAGCTTGATGCATAAAAAAATGAATTTAATGTATCTATAATTTCTAAAATTAAGACAGAACTTGAAGCATAAAAAGAAAAAGCATATACGCTACAGAGCCGAGTAACTGCAAATATCAAATAGAAGTTTCAATTGATAGATCAACAGTGATCTGAAGACCAGATCTGCGAAGTAAATGCGGTTCAATTCTTCTAAAATTTGCAAGCCTAATGGCAGAATAACCTTTTTAACTAAGAGTCTAAGACATTACTAAATCTGCAGTGTCCATTGTTAGATTTCCTTTGGCTCTCAAATAATAAATTTTTCATTGTTTCTGTTTGCTGGGCTACCTCAGTTTTTACCATTTCAACATTATTGAAAGGTCTCATATCAATCTCTCACTCTCTGCCTTCACAAACCTGCTTCATCAAAAATATCTTCTTTGAAAACGATAGTCAAAATAGTTAGCTAGGATAAAGTAGAAATTGGTAGCATTAGAAAATACAATGCTTATTTCCTGACCTTCTGATTTCTTACCCAACAATCTAGGTGGTTGAGTAAGAAATGGATGTTAAGGAGGCTAATTATCTTTTTCTAGGGTATATTCTTGTCAAGGACCATGCCCTTGAGCACTAAACTATTTGGGGAATGTGCAGCTTCAGGAGGAGGATATCACCCTAACTGGTGGGCAAAACGAGGGTCGTTCCTTTTTCTTTTCTGCAAGAGGGGATTTCTTGGTGCAATGCAACAGTTCTAGTTTTATGTGAAATCTGGTGATTTCGGGGGTATGTAGAATAAATATAATTGGAGGGAAATTCAGGCACTGTTGAGACCAAAATTCAACTAGTTTAGGAAGTTCAAGGGTTCATATGATATTACATAGTTTCTTCAAAATCCTAGGTGAAAGATGGGACCTTTTTGCTTCAATAAAGCAAAAGTAAGCTACTTCAACCAGATCTTATGTCAGATGATGTAAATAATAGAATATAACTGCTGCATTGCTGCAACATTGTTTATGTTATGTATTTAGATCAAAAAAATAAATGCCAATCATAAAATATTTTCCAAACTAATAGCATCAAATAAATATAAGTTGCCAGTGGATTTCACAGTGACCGCTGAGTAATATCTCATAAAATGAAAGCCTGGCATCAGAATCTATTTCAATGTTATAAAGGAAATGTACAACTAATAGAGAACGAGCGAGAAACAAAAGCAATGAAAGAAACAAAATGACATGGAGGGCAGTGCAGACAAGAAAGACTATATATTTTAGATATTTTTAAGAAAATTGCATCCTCAGCTAAGCAAATTTAAGTACAATTACATCCAAATCAAAGGTGTCCTCAAGAATATGAAGTTTGCACATTAGTACTTCCGACTGCCTTTTTGGTTGGAAGAGCCTAACCATGGCTATAATATGTTGACCCAAAACTGAAATTTGGCAACATTACCTGTACAAAAGTGGAGATAGAAAGAAGTGGCTTCTCTCCAACCTTCTGATTTCTAGCCTGAAAATTAACAAAGAAGTAAGCAATTTGTAAAACCATATATTTTTAGGGAGGAAGAACAGTACTATTAATTTCAGAACTTCGACATCGATCAAGATAGCATACAAAAAGTAAAACAAAATCCAGATTAACAAAGCCATAACTTACAGCCATATATTCAGGAATAAACAACGGAGTAAACAAATTTTGGTACATTTTTTTTTACTCGACCCTTTAACAAGATAAATAACAGAAAAGTTCTCCAGACAAATTGATCAACATAAAGCACAGCATAGATACATTTAAACTGAGAAAAACCTACCTGGATTAGAAGCATTACAAGTGCAAAGATAACCTTTGCAACTTCAGTCAGAAAGTTAACACTGATGGGGCTAAAATTGAACTTCCCATCAACCTTGGACATGTACACTAAAATTGGCTGTAAAGTAATAAAAAAAGAAACAGTAAGCCACTGATAACATAGGCAACATGAAGACAATACACAGCTTACTATACCTAAAAATATCTAATCAATGACAGATTGAAGTTTAACAAGTTGCTTTGTTATGAAAAGGATCAGTGCTAATAATAGACAACCACAACACATTTTTTTATCTTTTCTTGCAAGCGAATGTGGAGAAAAAAATCATACTACCGACGTCCTTCTCACCACAATTGGATATACAGAAGGATTTAGTGAGTTATTTTGATTGAAATGCAGTTCGGCATATGGACTTTATTCGTCTTTAGGCAGCAGCAGATGATGCAATAATTAATTGGAGTTAAGATAACCAATTGAAATATGTGCTCCGGTAGGTTCTTTCTTACTTTTTGTTACTGTGGTGAAATGGCCTCAGAAACCTATGCTCCATTGTTAGGAATGGGTGAATAATCTAAATAAGATATAAATGCAGGGTTTATAAAAGATGCCAAAAGTTTCTCCTAAAGAAAACTACAGTACATGAACAAGACTTAACCCCTTCAAAAGAAAAGCATACACGAAAGGACAAATCTGAGTTTTATAATCTTTAAGGAATATCATTGCAAAGGGAAATCACCTGTAAGCCAACTAACATGCAATCACCAACAACCAAGAGAACATTGAGTGCTCGATGCTTCTTCGAAATCTTGCTCCGATGTCGATCATAAGCCCTAGAGACTGTCTTTGCGGACGGATTCACCAACTTGGAATGACAGACGCTGCATTCTATCATCCCTTGTTTCATTATCCGAAACCTCCCTGCCTCACTCACTTTATCCCCCTTCCTCTAAACGTCAAAACTACAAGAAGTAAAATCCCCAACCAACACGAATCAGCATTATTTATCGCACTACAAACAGCATTAGTAAATAACCCAGAACCTAAATTAATGACTATACACAGTAAATCACATGACATCTACATTTATAAAACTGTTTTATCTGTCGAAACATGCAAAAACATTAATTATCATCACATCGTCATAAAAACCTCCAATAACAACTTCAGATAGCAAATACAGTTTATACTAAATCCCAATTCAATCAGATCTTCAGTTATCAAGATAATCAATTTGATAATAACTATATCCAAAACAAAAGAATATCCATTATGCTCCACCGAGCTCTGATCTTATCACATCCATATCAAAATCGAGCTTCCTCCCACGATCAATCAAGCACAACTAAACCACAAGATTATCACTTACCTCAATTATATGATCTCAGAAAACAAGATATTACAGGGTGCTATGAATTACGCTTAGATCTGACAGCTCCGGCCACCGGAATTGAACTGGCGGCGGTTGAATCAATTGAAATAAACCCTAGAACATGCAAATTGATTCTGTTGGTGCGAAGAATATGCTGAGAGATGGGAGGGTTTGGTGTGCAGATGGAATCGATTTGAAATTGAATTATTTTGCTTTAAAATCACATCACCGTGGTTGACGCTTTGCTGTGATCTGGGGGAAAGGTCACCGACATTTACTCGTAAAAATGATAAGTATTTAACAAGTACCAGTCAAATCATTGTCTGACTTGTAATTTACATGTTCTTACAAATATACTAATTCTCATTGTTTTCTAAGATCGTAAAGATTATCGGATATTGTTTGGTAGTTGTAGAATGATTTGATTCAGAATGATTAAGACACTCTCATGATATAGTGCAAAATGATATATAATTGTTCGGTAATTATTTACAATGAAAATTAGGATGTTAAATGGTTAAGGGAAACTCATGATACAAAATCATTCAAAGGGTTTTAGAATCATCAAGAGGCAGATTTTTTTTTGCCAAACAAGATTCACCTCTTAACGATTCAGAGACTGCCTCTTGATTGAACTATTAAGAGGTAAACAAACATCAAGATTTATGGTTTTAAAACACCTCTGGTAGAGCATTACTTAACGTATAAGAAAACTGTCAAAATGGTCTCGAGAAAACATTACTTGAAAATCTTGTGACATTTTGGTATTTGTATTATTGTAGGACGAAGACATGGTATTTCAAAAAACATTTGTGGGTCGTTCTTTTTATTGTTGTCTGAAATAGCTGTTTTGGTACGGTGTATAAAGTTGTCGGACCGTTTCATGAAACATCTGTTCATGACTCATAAATGTTCTTTGACGTCAGATTCAGTTTTTCAATGGAATGGAAGTTATTTTTCACGAGCGTTCGTGGAATATCTGTTTTATGAGTTACATATGTTCATCTGCGTCAGATTCAGTTTTTCAAGCTTTTGTTGTCATAAAATGACATGGAAGTTCCTTTTCGAATTATGATCATAAATATGGAATTTCCAAATAAATTTGAACAACAATTAACGATTTTAATCGGTTATTACTTGAACATGTTTATTTACATCAACGTTTGAAATGATCTTCAATGTGTTTCTTTGAAGAAGAGCATGAATCAGCTGAATGAAAGTGAGAGTTCGAAGTTGCCGGTAGGTCAATCTCCGGAGTCCAGCCATCCTCTCCTTGTCATGCTTAGGGACCGTTTACCAAATGCTTACCCGGGTAAGTGAACACCAAGTCATTTTACCTTATCGGATGAATATGGTAAGGATCAAAAATCTTACCCGATAAGAGCGAGACAATGACCAAGAGTCTTACCCCGTAAGTGAGGGCGACGACTCTTACCATGGTAAGCGCTTACCGGGTAAATTATTGCATACAATACCGTTCTGGTGGACTAAGATCTTATTCGGTAAGTAAATGATAATGTTAAGTTTACCGGTAAGTGTTTGGTAAACGATCCTTTAGTTATTCTGCAATGCTCCTTCTTCTACGTGAAAAAGGCTCGCGCTCCTATAAGGCACATCTTGAAGAACGTTCCATTAGGCCTGTTCAAGAAAGCAAATTAACATGAACAACCAAACCAATCTGATCTAATAGATTACTGGATCGGATCAGATCATTCCATTAGATATTATTGTATGTTATCCCTTTGATTGAATTATGGGTTGTTTGTTTACCTTTTAATAGTTCTATTTAGAGGCAGTCTCTAAATTGTTAAGAGGTGAATATTGTTTGGCAAATAAATATTGTTTCTTAATGGTTCTAAAACACTCTGAATGGTTTTGTATCATGGTCCTCCTTTAACCATTCAGTGCTCTAATTTCATTATAAACAATTACCAAACAATTATATTTCATTTTGCACTATATCATGAGAGTCTCTTAATCATTATGACTACTTAATCATTCTACACCAAATCATGCTAAATTTAGATTCATCCAATTTTCAATCAATTAATTCACAATTTTAACCAATTATTCATATATTTTTCTAATTTATTAAAAAACTCTACATATAAATATCAAATAAATACAAAATCATAAATATTACTGTTACATGTACATATTCGATAGTCGTAGTGGTTCATTTTCATTGTATTTTGGACTATCATCTAAGAGCTGACCGATCCAATTTAAATATTTGAATTATGGATCCGATCCGATCCGATCCGATCCAGTTATAATCAATCAGTTTTGATTGAACCGAACAACCTTACTTAAAATATAAGAGCATCTCTAACAATTATGCTATAATTTCCTAAAATATAATATCAAATATCAAAATCTCTAAAATAAATTACTTCCAACTTCAATAGCTATTATATTTTAGCAAATTTAGAATCAACTATATTATTAAAATATTATATACATTTAATTAAATATTATTTTTCTCTCCTAAACATTTATTTTCAATACATTTTATTGGTAACTAGAAGCGTACTCGCGCAATGCAGCGAGATATAT